GCGCTATTCCTCCTGCACACGCTGCTCCCACCTCCCCAGCCCCGCTTGGGGGGCGAGCTGTAAAGAACTCAGGAGAGATGCCCTTTTGCACCACATTTATTTACTGGCTACTTCAAGGGGGCCAAAGTCCCCGGGGAGACTTTCGTTCTCTCTGCTCGCCCTCTCTTCTTGTCCCCAGCCCGCTGTCAGGGGGGAGCCCCCGGGCTAGGTACCGGCAAGCAGAATTTTGGGGGCTCCTGCAGTTTGGCGTCAGCACATTGTTGAGCTCCTCATTAACCAAACTCCAGCTAGGTTTCCTGAGCAGGCTTGGAGGATGCCAAGAGGAGAAAACCAAACAGTGGAGGATGAACCAGGTTTGTTAGCAGCAAGGGCATCTTGCAGCACAGCCTCCATCCTCCCCTCCAAACACTGCCCTACCAGCAGAGCCACTGGATGCCAAATTTGGGATTGTGACAGCTTTTCTGCTGCTGGTGGCAAAATGATGGTTCTTCTGCCAGTCACAAGGCTTTCCTCTCATCCCCATCCCCCATAACTCGGGCACAGGGAGTAAAAATCAGAACGAACACTGCACCTAGGTGCGTAACTACGACAAAAACCCCCTCAAAACCAAGAAAAAACCCACACAGGCAAGAAAAATCCTGCTTTTACAGAGCAGGAGTCTGGGAACCACCCACATATTTGTCACTGTAGACAAGAGATTCGGATGTCTCAGGAGAAGTTTACCTGCCAGATACACCACCCTCACCCTGTCTCACCCCAGCCACCCCTCACTGCCAGGAATAGGGGCTGGGCCCTGTCCCTCCTGCCCCCTGACAGTGCCTGGGGTACACGCTAGGCTACGTGTTGGGGGCAGCAAAGGCAGGGAGAAGGCAGCCCTCTGACCTCCTTCTCTACTTCCACCAGCAGCCACAAGAGTTGGGGGAACGAAAGCGGCACATCCCTGCCCCTCCCCGAGAAGCTGCTGCCCCTCACCCAGCTGTACAAGGGGTGGTGGGGTGGGACACCCCACGGGGGGGCCACCGCCAGCTCCCACTGGAGTGAACACGTTCAACACTGCCCTGAGCATCACTGATAACCTGCTGCTGTCTCCCACCGTAGATCCAACCGCTGGAGCTGCCCCAGACCTGTACGCGACCCACCGCCATCCCCGACGGATCAGCAACACCTCGCTGCACCTGACAGCATGGGGGCGCGGGGCTGACCCCCGGGAAGACTGTGGCCCGGCTTGCTGTACAGAGGCCACTTGTGTTTACACTCAGTGACACTCCCTGCTTACATAGCGCCTTGCTCCAGCGAGAGATTTACAGCCTCTCACACCACTGATATGCACCGGGGCCTGCCGGTGGAAATTGGGGTGGGGAGAGGGGAGGAGGTGTCAGGGATGCTGATGGCTCCTGAGCCTGCAGTGGCACAGTGCTCCTCTTTGAAAAACAGAGCAGGGGAAAGTTTCCATGGCCTCCGGATGGCTGTACATTGCCCGGTGCAGGGCTGGGAGTCCAAAGGGTGGGTCTGGCCACAGAGAGGCATGTGCGATGGTGACCAGGCTGCACTCCTTCCCCTTCCCCACACACCTCTGTCCTCTGCCTGCCTGGGGATGGAGGGAGGTGGCGCAGTGCACCCCAGATGATCCTGCTTTTGGGAAGGATCCCTGGGGGATCTCAAGGTGGCTGTGGGTTCAGGACAACCTCTGCTTGACTCTGACCTGCCCCAGATGTCCCTGTGCAGCAACTGGGGCTGCAAGCATGAGGGGTGGTGCAGAGCCCCTCCCCAGCTCCTGTTTCCACACCTCGCAGCCCTGCTGAGGAGATAGCAGAAGTCTGGAGAGTTCATTTGGCAACTTAAGTCATTAAGGAATCACACTCCGTTGTCTCTAAGCCCTAACGAAGCCAATTCCCAACATTAATGATTGTTCTTCCTTACACTGTCAGCCTCTAAATATAGCTGCCCATCCACTCAGCACACAGCGTTGATGTTATCTGCTCTGTTTTTACTGGCTCTGCTACTCTCTGGAAGTTTTCTCTTATATCAGTGGAAAAGTTCTCTGCTAGGGGAGATGGAAAAAAAAAATTCATCTTCTTAAGTTAATAATTTTTCCACTCCCCTTTGCCTTCCGCCACACACGCACACACAGAGTTGCCCTTCCTCTTTTACTCGCTAGGACTCGTCTTAATGAAATGCCTTCCGCTGCCGCTGTCAAGTTTGTGGGTGCATACAGGGTGGACAATTTTATGTGGGTGTGCTGCTCCCACCTGGCCAGGTACACAGCCCTCTCCTCCAGTTTTAGAGCTGTGCAGCAGAAATCAAAACCCAAGAAACAAGAGCAAAAGTCATATGGGAAAAAAAAAAAAAAAAAAAAAGGAGAAAATCCTTTCCAGAGAGCCTCCTAGAGGGCTGCCTGCCTTGCTCTGCCACTGTTGTGTCACAGCTCGTATTCCTCTCCGAAATCACTGACATTAACTGCTGTGGACAAGTAGCACAGCTGGACATTTCATAGATGGCACAGATGAAAGCAAGTATTTCACTCATCTAATCTGAATGCCACAAAACCAGTGTCAGCCTCAACCCCTTAATTGCTACCTGTCATTTCTCCAGGAAGATATCCCTGTCTTGATTTCAGAATACCCAGTGTGGGAGAATCCACCAGTCCCAAAGGCAACTTTTCCCCACGGTTTATCTCCATGCTCTTTGGAATATGTCTCTTATTTTTAACCTGGTGTTTATCTAACTGCTTGCTTCCAGCCACTTGTTATATCTTTTCTTTAAGGGTGAGATGCATCAGCTCTCAAATGCAGCACAGTTTAAGCACACTTGACTGGTCTTGTAAGATCCTGACCCCCTAGCTGAAAGATATTCCACCCACACGATTTGCTGCTTATTATTTGCCTTGTGATCCTGAAGCCTGGAATATGCACCATATTTTCAGCTTTGCTCCCAAGCCAGTAGAGGAAGGATTTGCTATTATTTTTAATGGCATCTGACTATTTCAGCTCATCATGTAATTGGAGTGGGGGCTACAGAGCATCTCAAGACTTCCTCTTTCCTCTCCAGCTCCCTTTTTTTCCAGCCAGAGACTTCTTCCTCTCCTTTTACCCTCTCCTTCGGTCGTGCTTCTATGCCTTTCCCTCATTTTAATTACTATCTTGCAGCCACCAATCTTCATTTCTTCATCTTTTCCCTCTGCATTCTGCTATTTCCCTGGTCACTCCATCCCTCTGTCGCACCTATTCCTGCCCATCAGCCAGGGGAACCTTTTCAACCTTTTGCTGCAATTGCTCCCCTGTAGTGAGCAGTGCTAGGATGTCCTTGAGGGAGTTAGTAATGGGCAGGAGCTCCCTGGCACAGACAGCAAGCCCCCGTGAGAAGGGGAGGTGTGCCTGCAACAGCATCTGCCTGTGGTGCTCAGGGACCTCACTGTGTTGGGCACAGCAAATGCTGTCCCTACCCAGCCAGTGTGCCCTGGGGAATACAGTGGTGAAATGCAGGCATACAGGCAGCAGGGCATGGCTTGAAGAGGAAAAGAAACAATATGAGTTATCAGGACTTTAGGACAGACTCAATGTGAGGACCCAGAGGGATGTTCAAACTGAAGATGACATGCATGTTACAAGCCCCAAAAGACAAGGATGGTGTCCACAAAATAGGTACTGGATCAGGCCCAGGAGAACACAGAACAATGGCGTAAGTCAGGAAGGACTGTGAGGCTTTAACTGTCAGCTGAGAATACTGGAGCAGCTTTTCAGTAACACCGTGAGCCCGAGTAGCAGATAAATAAGCAGCCTACAAACAAGCAAACCCAAATTCCTCATTGTCACACTATGGGTAAGACTGTAAAACACGGTGTTACACCCTGCACATGTCCCTCCCATCGGTAACGCTCCACAGCCTGTGTCACACCCCAGGGACGGAGTCGCGCATGTGATTTCCGTCACAGTGTCTACTTTTCCTTTACTGCCACAGTTCCCAAGACATGTACCCACCAGAGACAGCTTTGCCCCACACAGAAATGCAGCTGCTTCTAGGGTAGAGCCCAGCCATATGTCACAGCCCAGCAGCAGAGTAGGGGATGGAAAGAGTCTGGACATCATGTCCAAATGAATGACAGAAAGGAGCGTGTGGATTGAATTGACAAAACAACTTCCAAAGTTAAGGGGAGCCCCAAGTTTGTTCTTCATCACAACAACCCCAAGACACGTTCCTGAAGAGGCAGGCAGGAAAACAAAATCCAAAATCAAACCACAGGGAAAAAACCTCAAACAGACTAAACTGATCTTCTCCCCAAAAGCAGATAGCTTTTCCCACCCCAGAGCAAGACAAACAGCATCTCCATTGACTGATCAAAGAGCGAGGCAGTTTTTCTGAGTTCCTCACCTTTTCTCTTACTCTGTAGGCTTGATCAGAGAAATGCCGGTTTCTACCCTCCAGGCTAGTATTAAGCTATTAAATGCACCATTTCACCTTGTTTTTTTTTCATTGACTGTCAGCTTCAGAGCTACTCATGGCAGTTTGCTCTCCCACTTCTACCTCCCAACTCCCTTCCCCTTCCAAGCAGACCAGCCCCACCCTCCTTAGCCAGCAGCTCAAACACCACCACTGCCAGAGCATCTATAATCTAGAGAACAGCCTTTCCACACACTTAAACTAAGTCATTGCCACCTCATCTCACTTTTAATTGGCTACTGGTCTTTCCTTTAAGTTAGTTGATACCCTTTACTCCTCAGGAGGCTGGGTGCCTCATGATGGCAGGTTTCCTAATGCCATTCAGCCCCAAGACAGTGGGACTCCTCTGCTTGCCTGCTCCCTGTCACCTAGCAGGAGCCAGAGGGTGCCACCTCCTGCTGCTGCGGCAGGGGAGGTTTAGCACACACTTGCCATTTCACTGCGCAGAACATTTGCTGTTTGTACAAGCACGCACATTGCTTTCCTTCGATGTAAAAGCCCATGCCAGCAGAAAGAAACCATTAAGAGAAGTGCAGTTTTACCTGGAAAGTAGAAGTTCTCACCTGGGAAAGCTGTGATGGGTTCTGGAAAGGAAAAAAACCAAAAGCTAGTATTAGAGAGGGGAATATTACACACAAGGCCATAGTTCATGTCTTTGTTGACTGGCAGTGGCCAAAGGAGCAGGCACGCGGCTGTGCCCCACAGAAGCCAGTCGCCGGGAACAGCGCAGGGTGCTAGCCAGCCTCACCAGGATGGGGAGAAACCCTGTCTCAGCTGGGGATTGACCAAACACAACAAGCTTTGACTTCAGAGAAAAATATCTCTGAGGCTGAGGGTCATTTGGATTCAGCTGGCTGGCCTGAGTCATCCCAAGACAAATCCCCACCTGGCACAGTGATGAAATCCTGAAACCCCCTAAAATTTCCAAAAGCGGTTTGGTTTCTGGCTCAATTCTGGCATCGTTATTCACATGGGAACTGTGTTACTTTTGGGCATCGATGCCATGCTCCTTTCCATCTCACAGTGACAAGAAACAAAGGCAAGTGATTTTTTTCTTCTTTCAAGATACTTTGAAGAAGTAATCTATTACAAATTACTGGATCTGAAAAGCAATAATCGGTACTTACTACTGATTACTTTCTCACAGAAGTAATAGACTTCTGATTATTTTTAGATTACTTCTCCATTATCCCTGTGAGTCACTGAAGCAGACTCTGGCTCTACTGAGTGCTATGAAATCATCTCTGAAGTTCAGAATGCGAATGACACATTTGTCAAAGGAAAAAATTATTGTGACTTATTAGCGTTCTTTCACTCTAAAAAGGAATCAGATTACTTCCCAGGATTACATTTGAAAAAACAGTAGCCTGTGCTGGAATCAGCTATTCTCATGGTTCTGACAGAGAGAGAGCAGCACTGTATCTCTACCATTTCATTATTATTTTGGTGACATCAGAAATGACCCATGAGTTATGTTAAAGTTTGCAGTGGGAGCCCTTTGTTAGAAATGAACTGAAACAAACGATCCTTATCAGTTTTAAGATTCCCATTCAACTTCCTAGAATGGGACAAATAATGTTGTGTAACAGTTTGGTGTTATTTTTAGGGCTGGCAATGCTTGAAACTTTATAATTTATTAATGCTTTTGTTTTAAAATACTAAGATTTAGATCCATGAGGCCCAAAATGCGATAACACTGGAGCTAGGTGAATTGCTGAGCTCAAAGAAGTTAGATAGGAAATGCTATTAGTGTTAATCATCAGTCTTGCTTCTCTTTAATGCCATAGAAGGCAAGGGATTAAAACACCACTGTCAAGCCTTAAATACAGGGAATTTGACATATGGAGTATTAACTTCTTTGGCAGATGGGAGACCAGCAGAGTTCAAAGCATCAAAGAAACTGGGACTGACGGCGCTCAAGAGCATCTCTGGGGCAGTCCCTGTCCTCTGTTCTATTATTAATGCTGGTTCCTGCACCATCTCCACCATCAGCTGCCTGCACAGGTCAGCAAGCAACGTGATCAGCCCTTCTTTCCAAAGCACATTTTGTCCCATGCCTCTTACCCTGAGATACACCCCTTAGAAGAGAGTATCTGTCCCGCCTGGGTTAGAAAGCACCGGGATCATCCCCTCCCTTGGTGGGGGAGAGCTTCACTGAATTGGGCCTTTGAAAGTCCAAAGAGGAGAGAGAGGCTCTGCTCCACCTGACTTCCTCCACTGACTTCAGGATGGGTCGGAGACTTTGTGGGTGTTTAACAGTGAAACACACCTCCCCCAAGTCACACAGAAGAGCAAGGCCTTACTACTGTGAGCAGCTCTCAGCATGCACCCCACTAGCTGAATGCTGCTGGTCCCTTGCTCAACTGGGATGGCTCTAAATCCACATCCAGGCTAGATGGCAACCAGAGCCATCAGAGTGTGTGCATGGATACACCAGCCAGAGCAACAGGGCAGGGCAACAGCTGCACCAGCAAACTGCTAAAACACACTTTTTTTGCTCTCTTTTTTTTTTTTTTTTAAAAAAAAAGGTCCTCTCTGTCTTTCACATTGAATGAATCCACCTGGCTTTTGGCCTGGTTTGGGGAACGGTGAATTCTAGGACAAAAATTTCTTTTGTTATTCTGTTAACATTGCTGTAAAACCCCTCTGCTATTTTATTTCTTATTAGAGAAGACTCCTTTTGAACTCATCGGCCCCTCTAAGCGTGTAATACTGACTGACAGCTGGTTTCTTTTGTCCAGCACTTTCCTTTTAAATTTGGTGTATGTCCTTATCACACAGAATAGTCCTCGGCAACCCTCAGCTGCTCTTTCAGCTTTGCGCAGCAGAGACATGTGCTTCCTGCCTCTCACACCAACACAGCCAGAGCCCCTGTCCCCCTCATTTCTTTCATGGGCAAGGGAACTCCCAGCTGAGATCCAGAAACTCCCAGTAACTCACGCAGGGGAGAAGTGGCCCCCTGGCAGTCTGTGAGTGGATGCTCTCCAGCCCCAGCTGTGCCCCCGCCACCCCTGCCCCCCGCGGCTGTACACGGCACCTACCCATGCAGTTCTCCAGCGGGATGTCGGTGCCTAGCCGGATGTCATCAAGGGCGACCTTTCCTGAGAGGCCGTGGCGTATAAATCCCTCAAACACAATCTGTGAGAAATCGGGACAGAAATGTCAGTGCTAAACTGAGAGGCAGAGTGGTTGCTACTCCCAAGGGAAAGGGCAGGAAATCTGCTCCTGCCTTTCCCCGCACACCCACAGATGACCTGAGACTAGTCCTACTTCCTTGCCCTGTCTCTGCCACCCCTTGCCCCAGGAAAGCTGCTCTGCAGGGATGGGTTTGGCAGAGAGATCGTTACCTGGCCTGGCAGCACTCAGCCTGCAATTTGTTCAATTAAATGCCTCTCGCATGGAATAAAGACTCAGTGAATCAACGCTCTGCATCGCAGGCCACCCCCTGGCCCTTGCACAAATGATGCAAGTGGTGTAACACTGCCTTAACAGCAACAGCAGATTTGGCCCATGGTATTAACCGGGCTATGATCAGAAGAAGGAAAGGAAGGACACAAAATGCACAGCTACATTAACTGTAAAGTGCTGTTCCCATCAACATTACATAAGAAATATTGAAATGTTAGAGGAGAAGGGTCAATTTATTCCTACTTAATCACAGGCAAAATATATTTACAAAAATAAATAGAGTCGTTAGCTCTAAGAACTGCTGAGTGGAGAGACTTGCATTATTTACATAATGATGTCGTTATTTAGCTAATGTGGGTATATTCACGTTTAACGCACAAAGTAGTCAGCCAGTACCCATCATTCTTATCTGTAGGTATATTGTTTTTACTGGTATTTTATTAAAAAGCCAAACACACACAAGCAAACTAGTCACGCAGCTCCAGTGCAAAGCTTTTGCTTTATATCTCCCTGCCTACTCTCAAGGGTCCAAATCATAGGGTTATGTATTTCAACAAACCTCTCCCCATTTTAGACGCCCCCTGGGCAGCCCAGAAGACAGAATGTCAGAGCTGCTGGTCCCAAGCTCAGGCCATCAACCCATGTGGGAGGCAGCAGTGGCCTGAGAGCAGCAGCTCCCTGGGTCAGGGTCGGGGCTGGGAGCCAGCTGGAGCAAGGCTCCTTGATGGGGTGGTCATCGATGTGTCACCACAAGCCTGCAAGTACATGCTTTCTTCTGTTTTGGAGGGTGCTGGATGCCGTGCTGATGCTCGTTAACAAATGACAACAGTAGCCCTGGCTCCCTGGCAAACGGCATGCTGCCCAGAAGGTCTAATCACGCCAAAGGCACTTCTGGAAGCAGCAGCCTCTCCGTGGGGTGCAGGCACGGCTATGCCAGAGGGGCTCAGGCGGCTGCAGGGAGCAGCACAGCTCCCTCCAGCTCATCCCTCCTCTTCCGCTGATCTCCTGATGGTGGGACAGGGCCTTGATCCCACAGCGCTGCACCCAGCCCTCTGATCTGATCTAAGGCATCCAAGAAGCAGATTCACAAACAGATCTGCTTTCTCCTGTGTCAGCACTTGCAGCCGAAGCTGGAGAAGGACTATTTGCTGCCTACCCTTAAGACCTGGCCATGCCCCATCCCAGCCTCTCATTTCTCCTGGCTGCAGGGTTTGGGTTTGCTCCCTGGAGCTGCGTGACTGCCTCTGGTCAGACTAGCTGATGGCCATCAGTTTTGGGGGTAAATCCACAAAATAAAATGAAAAAAAAAGAAGGGAAAATATTTGCAAAGTGGGAGATTTGAGGAATATAAAAGGCAACAGGCTGAACAAAGGCCCAAGTCTGTGCAGAATACAGGCACTCTCTGAATAACAAACAGTGTCGTTTAGTTACTATGGTAACTCAAGAAATACAATGAAAACAGTCACATTCCCTAATGATGAATGGGCCCTGGCTCTGAAACACTGAAACAAAGATGCTGGAGATGCCTGCCTGGTCCAGCACACCTTCCCTGAGCATCTTACTCGGTACTCCATGTCGTAGCTTGGCAAGATGATGCGGCCTTCCCTCCACTCCTTCCCTTGGTCCTCCATGATGACCCACAGCGCCTTGTGCTCCTGGCTGGCTTCCCGCCAGACCCGCAGCATCACCCCATTGCTGCCCCACGCCTGGTACTGGAAGACCATGCAGACAGCGCTCCGGGGTAGATAGATGGTGGGGCTGATGAGCCGGGCTCGCTGGCCTTCTCTCCTTCCATTGCTCTGCAGCTGCAGGTAATGCTTGCTGCCTGTTCAGAGAGGAAAACACAATTATTTTCTGTGGCTACCTGCAACAAGTGTCTCACCTCCTACCAGGTGGCTTTGGCAGTGCTGGGCAGGATCTCACACTCATGCTTGCAGGAGTGGGGTCTCGCACTGGCCCCCTCTGTGTGCAAGCAAGCCGTGCCACTGCTGTGCCCTGTGCGGCTTGGGCGGGCATCGAGGAGCACACTTCCCCCACCAGCCACCACTGTCTGGTAGGAGACCGACAGCAAAAGCAGAAAGTGGTAAAGCCAAGAATCGACATAATTAGGCGAAGTTAAAGAGCAGTGATTGTCAGAAGAAGCGATGCCATGGTAATGACATTGGCAGGGAGGTGCGTTTATTCTGCTGGGAGCTTGCTCAGTGAACAAGCCTGAGGTGGGTTTTCTAACTGCCGGTGCTAAAACTCATCTTGGGATGGGGATCTCAAGCTGTGTTCAGCCTGCCTCTTTTCATCCCCAGCAGTAAATACTCCACAGCCAGGATCTAGCTGGCAATTTTGTTTTGAGGATATTCATTACAGAATGAAAGCCTGGCTCTCAGTTTTTCTGTAGTGCAGCAAAACAGTCCCTAAAGCACAGCACCATGCAGGATGTGATCCAGTGAGTGAAGTATGCACAAGTGACAACTGGGTAGTTGCAAACCTGAAGGTAGTGAAAATATATACAGCAGGGGATTCACTTGCTTTCCTATTACATTTAAATTGTGCCATGCTTTTTGTCAGTCCTCAGAGAGGAGATTCGGTAGGTTTGACATCCCAGGAGAAGTTCAAGGCTGAGACTGGAACAGGAGATACTTGATCTGAATACCAATAGCAGCAAAAGCCCATGGATACAAATCCCTGGGCATGGCCGATTTGGTCTGGAATCAGTGGTTTCCAGCCCTCTCTGATGAGAAGCCTCCTCAAGGAGTTTCCCATTTGCAGCTTGGATGCCTGAAGTCCCTTAGCACAGACTGAAAGCCGAGTGTGTAGCTGATCTGATCCTTCCCTGCCCCCTCATCATGACCAATGGCAAGACAGAGTCCCTTGGGTTGTTCTGACTGCAGTGTCCGCAGTGCGAGGTGACAGACAGGCCAATGACAGATATTGCTGTATTTCATGTTTCACTCAAAGAGGGATGAACATGCTTGCTCTTGCTACACAGTGAGCAAGTCTCACTGGTGCTTCAACAGCACTTGGGAGCCCTCCTGCAGCCCAGCCACCCCCTAAGGGGCTGTCCCTTTCTTTCCCCACATCTTAAGCTGCTGCACTTGATGGGCAAAGCTCTGAGCAGCAGCTTGCCTCCTGCTTGCCTGCCCTGCTCCCTCTGTGGCTTCAGTGCCCACAGCAATTGCAGAAGACCAGCATCTGCCCTGAGAATGTTTGCAAAGTACACCCAAACCACCTCCAAATCTTAAACCAGTGACACTTGAACTTAGAACCCAATTTCCCAAGCATTGAAAGACAGGTCCCACACAGAAAACAGCAGCTGACCTTGCTGCCGCTCAGCAATCCGGTGACAACCCAGCCCAAGGGAGATGTATCAGTGGTTGCACAGCCACTGGCACTGCTTCAAGTTTGTTACTGCCAGAGAGCTGGGCTGAAACCAACCACCGTGAGCTACGCAGCTTTATAAAATAAATTTAGGGCAAGACAGCAGAGAGATTTGCCATCACTCTACTCCTGGGATGTATGATCAAAATATTTCAAAAGCGTATCCACTCCATATGAACTTTCACTGATTTTGCTGCGTGAAGGACAAATCTGTCCCTGACCAGCCACACAAAGAAAGAGCAACATTTTCCAGCAATATTTTCTAGCACCTATGAAATGCACTTAGGCCACTTGGCACTCTATGCTAACAAACAGTAGCATAAAAAAAGATGAAAGCATGTTTGCCCACTCCTGCTTGAGTGAATCACTTGAAAAAGTACCATGCCGTTCTCTAATGGAGGAGTGTTCTTATGATTTACCTCGGAGTGGTAGTGGTGGAGGAGGAGATGTGGGAGATAAACAAGTGGAGGAAGAAAAAAAAAAAAAAAAAAAAAAAAACTAAGGAGCGATAAGGCATAATAAGTCATCAAGGTCTCCTGAATTAAAATCCTCTTTTTGTAATTCACTACAAGCCTCTTCAAAGAAAAAAGCAACAACAAGAAAAAAGCAGCAACAACAAACAAGGTGGAAGAGCAAATCAGACTGCGATCATACAATTATCTCACAGCTGAAATGTCTCACAGGCAAATCTTTAATAAAAGCACCAGCTAGACTCATGAATGATCAAATCCAGATCCTCAAAGTTCAGGACCAACCTTTGATGCCAGTATCTAGGCAGCCTGACTGAGTGCAGGGATGCATGCCATCCTCGGATCCACCCAAAGCCCACAAGCTGACCACAGGGGACTATGTTAATTGTGCAGCTGGACACCTGCCACGATCTGCATCCCTCACTGGGAGCCATTGGTAGCCAGCATTGCTGCTTCCACTGCTTCAGCAAAAAAGCCTGTGTGCCTCTGAGTCACATCCCTCCCACCAGGCATGACACCAACCTCCTGTTTGTTCCCATTCCTATCAAGCTGTTAAACCAAAGAAACTCCTAAGCTGCAGCCAAAAACAATGTCCCCCTCAACCACACAGGCTCTTCCAGAACCAGGGGAGCCCTCCCAAGCCCTGCATCTCCTGTGCTCCCTGCCCAGCACTTGCTGGGGCCCACAGAGCAATCCCAGACCCAAGGACTGTGGGGAGGCACAGTCTTCGGGTGCTGAACCCAGCTGCTCCCCTGCAAGTAGCAGTGGGTTTGGGTACCATGCACTCCTACTCCTGGTTTCTGGAGTGGAGAGCTGAGTGCGAGCAGACCTGACTTTCTGTGTCATTTGAAGATGAAATGGCTGGATCACTCTAATGGCTAGCTGGACCTTCTGAAAAGCCCCGCGAATTTGCTGAGACTGACTGAAAAAGGGCACTGTGGAGCTAATTGTTGGAACAGCATGTGGAAGCCCGGTGGTTCCAGCAGTAGCTCTGTTTGATACAGTAAATGGAAGCCTTTGGCACAGAAAGCACCTGAAAGGCTGATTTCCCCTGCTAAAACACTTGAAGGGAGCCTTGCAACAATGAGCTGATCAATTCTTCCAGGATCAGAAATGCATTTTAATCTCTTTCCCAGAACTTTGCTTTGCAGCCCCTATTCCAGCTAACACAGCAGCTACATCCCCTGCCTAACTGGCACTGGTAGTTCAAAGCACCGGCTCAAAAAAGGCAGGACAAACCTGCTCAGGCATTTTAACCTACCGCTGTTTTTGCAACTGATGCTACGGCATAAATCTCATGGAAGATTTATGGGATCATCTGGATGTAGGGGAGCCAGAGGAGTGTGAACATGCAAACCATCCCCAGCCAGACGATGGCAGAGTCGCTTGTATGTGCACGGCAGTGAGTCCCGGATAAATCACCAGCCGGGCCCTGCAAACAAACCATCTGGCCAACGCAGTTTCCTCTTGGCACACCCGTTCCCTCCTGCTAGCAAGCCATCTGAGAGGACATTAGGGGCAGCAGAGGATGCAGCCTCGCAGTTTGGGTCAGGCTGCAAGCACGAGCCATGGCAGCTGCCCCCTCTGCAAGGTCAGCCTGCCTGTGCTTGGGTCCTCCACGTTTCGCCCACCCTCCCAGGAAAAGCATCTTCTCTCATTGGTCTCAGCAGCACATCTGGAGGTTTTCCAGAAAAACATGTTGGGCAGAATGTACATAAGCAATTACTGAGATTTCACATTCCCTCCACACTTCTCCCTCACTGGGTATTGTTGAGTTACAGCTGCTGCTCCTCTGGAGGACCAATGCTGAACTGCCTTCACTTACGTCCCTCCAAAGGTCACTGCACTCTTCACTGAAGAGCTTGGTTCACAGTGTTTTTAGTGACAGCACCACAGCCCACTGGCAGTCACCTCTTTTTTGCTAAATCCCCTAGGTGACACCTCTGCTTCGGGCCCCATCTACTGCCTGCACAGCACCAAACACCACAACCATGCTGTGTCAGGGCCAAGGGGATGTCCCAATGGAGCCTGATCCTGCTGTTCTTCTAGGGCATGTGAGCTGGAGGTTGCATCAGCCCTTGCCTTTCCCAGGGAGCGGATCAGCTCAAATGCCCTCACAACGGCAGGGTGCTCCAGTAGCAGGGGAATGGCAGCTGCATGAATATGCAGACTGAAATTGGATAGTTATTATATTTTTATTATTTTTTGGCAAATCACGCAAATTCACCTCAAAAGGCTGATGCTGTAATTTCAGTGACAGGCCTCTCCTCAATGACAGTCTTTCATTTATGAAGAGAAACCAATCCTCCATAAAACTAATATTTATATTAACTAGATCACTGCATCTGCTGGAAAAATCCCCTCAATTTTGATTATGTGTTAATTAGCTTGCCAAGTCCTTGCCATTTCAGTCTCTAAATCAGTCCGTGAAAAGGCATAAAACCCCATACCTGCCCAGAATCAAGCCCTCCGCCTGCTCTCCAGAGCCTTTCTAATGGACACACCACTACATCCTCTTTCTTAATTAAGGCTCACATCCTCAACAGCATGGTGTGATTGTGAGTCCTACTGCCTCTCGCCCCAGGAGCGCAGGGAGGGCACAGTGTCCCTGACAAACCAAATGCCAATTAGAGCCTGACATTTACGCTAAGTGAGCTCCTTGCCACTGCGTCACATCCACCGCCAGCCTGGCAGGCACCCTGCATGCCCCTACACGAAAGGGTGTGCGCACACCCACCCGCGCCCGGCGTTTGTGCATGCACAATTAAAGGCATTAACTGAGCCAGTGCTTCCACCACACAGGCTACACATTGTGGCTTGCTCGTGCATGCAGACACTTTCCCCAGTGGGGCTCTGTGACTCACAGGCTGCTAAGTCACTGCTGTGAAGTGATGGAGTGATGCATGCGCTAGGATTTGAGAGACACTGTCTTGCTTTCCAGAGAGCATTCCAGTGCAGTTTTATAGGCATGTGTGTCACCGGTGTTTGGGTCCAAAAAGTGACTAAGGACTCAGACAGGCAAGCAGCAAAGAAATGGGTGAGCCCCAGAGGAATGGTTTCTTCTCCTCTGCCTCTGGCCTAGCCCAGGAGAGTGGGAGCTTTGCTGGGAATGCGACAACAGACTGTGGCCAAGCCCCTTCTCTCAGCATGGGCACGAGGACAGCCACAGACGAGCCACAGGCTGGCCCTAGCCCGCAGTCAGGGCACTTGCACAGCCCAGCCGATGCTCATCAAACCTCCTGTGATCTGGGTGCCAGGACGTCCCAGCTCCACCATGCTGCAGGCAGCCAAGGCACAAATGACTTTTTAGGGTTTGCTGTCCTCACTGTGCAAACAAGGGTCAGGAGAGCCGCATACAGCTTTGCTGAGAGGCAATCTGCACCACACGTGGGGGGAGTGAGGAGAGACAGAGCCAGGTACGCGTTCTTCCCACAGTGTGCAGCTGCTCACTTATTGCACAGAAGTGTTTGACGTTCACACCACCCCACGTGCAAAACTCGTCCTACTTCAAAGGGGACAGGATTGACCCTAGAGGTCAAAATATGACTCCAAGGCACAAGCCCTGCAAGTAAGTCTCATGAGAGTTAAGTGCAGACCCAGTTCAGTCCAGCCCTGCTCTATTAACACCATGAAAACCTTTCTGCTGATTTGGACAGAGTAGGATCAAGGCCTTCAGGCAGAAGTTCTCATGGATTGCAGGAAAAATATGCAACTTTTCCTTTTAAAGATCCCATGGGAAAAACACAGGAATGGTAAAGGGTCACCATCAGCTTTAAAACAGCTCAACGTTTGTTTTCCTTAAAAAATAAGCTCTTATGAAACTTCAGAGCACTACAAACATTCCTCTGCTGGAAATGCTTTGAAACAAATAAACCTTTCCCTGCAGTGCCTGCAACCCGAATGAGCAGCATTCCTGACCCTCAAAGCCAGCCAGACCATGGCCCACAACAGAAGCTCTCGGTGGGTTTCTGCAGCCCAGCCCAAGAGCTATGTGGTCAGGAGAGATGCGGGGTTAAAACTGCGTCCTTTTCTGTATGCATGTACAGCTGCCAACATCCAAACAACACGGGGTTCACAATCCTGCCAGGGCTTAACCCTGACATTGTGCTCATTTGAATGAGAAGCAGTGTATGGTAAAGGTGCAGACCCCACAATGCTCTTCTAGGACCACAAGGTATTTACCTAACGACTGCAAGAAAAGGAGAGGGGAAAAATAATGGGCAAAACACACCAATTCCAGCTTTTCAGTGCTGTCTTATTAGTGTAGCATCACTGAGAGCAACGCAACTGCACTTAGCAGCTAAGGATATGACCAAGGATCTTTACACCCTTCAGGATCAAGATCCTGGTGAAATTCAAAGATGGTGAAGAGCTGAGGTGCCCACCTTACCAACCTAGATTTATTTTCACATCTTAAGACCTCTGTCTTGACACCAATGGCACATTGCCATTGCATGCAGCAGGAGGGGGGATGAAACCTCATTGAAACCTGAACTTGTTGCTTCTCAAAGCTTGCTAGGTACAGCTAAGGGGAATCTTGCTACAGATGGGAAGCATCTGAAAACCCATAGAGGGAAAAATCTTGGCAATCTCATGTTGGGGGCATGAAAAGGGGAGCAATGGTATTTTCTGGGCTTGCAAAGGGCAGGGTAACAGCTGGAACCATGCTGGGTTTCTGCTGAGTTGGGCACTTTGGGTCCACTTTCACCAACGGGGTCCCCAGACGTGTAACAGGAGCCTGCAGGAGAGGACGTGGAGCTAATCCATGGTGCGAAGAGCCCAAGGAACACAGGGCTAAAAAAAGAAATGCAGAGCTGCCTGAAAGAGTATCTTGGAAATAAAAATAGTGGAATGAGAGCAGTGGGTGTCTTGTCAGTCTCGAGAAGTTCTCCGCGCCAAAGATGAGGAGGAATTGCATGCAGTGCATAGAATGAAATAGGGAGATATCTGAGGAATTCAGGCCTGTCTCTCAGCAGACTTTTCTAATCAAGTGCCTCACAGAGGATATTTCACCATGGTCATTTCCTTCCCTCTCTCTCTCATGCAGACTGAGCCAGAGCTCCTCCTTTCATTATTATTTTTTTCCCTTCTAATTTTAATTTTTGTTTTGCCATTTTCAGAAGAAATAGAAACACATCCCACATGGCTCTTAAAGGCACAGCATATTTCCTTGCTATGGTGGAGCAGCTACAGCCTCTAGCCCAGCCTAGCACCTTTAAATCAGAGTAAATTGGGCTCCAGCAGCTTTGAGTTCCCATTAGCTTTTGCCCTGCCCCTAAACCAAGCACAGCTGCTCTCCTTCACCCAACTGCTCACCCCAGGGTGGGGAATTCACAAGAAGAAAAGACCACCCCGAACAAGGGCTTTTCATTCCTCACTCCCTGGAGTCTAAGGATGAATTTTCTAAGTAGAAACAAAATGCTGGAGGGAGCACGAGGGAAAGGCAGGGGAAGAATGGGGGAGTGTGAACCAAACAATGCTTCGATTCTGTCCCCGACAAGGGGCCGGCATCGACTCTTTTTCATGTTGCTTGAGTTGCTTTTAAAAGCTGTGCAGGGAGGAAAAAAGCAAATAGTTGTTTCCTTTTGTGTCATGTCTTCTTAATTTCACAGAGCAGGACCAAAGCGAGGCATGGCTGTGATGCCAGCCCCTCTGCAGCCCTGCACTGCGCAGGCATGGCAGCGCCGTGGCCACCGGGAGGGCACATCCCCGCCTGACCCAGCCAGGAGGCTGATCCCATGGCAGGGCCAACAACCATCCCTCAAGCCTGTGCCTGGCATCTGTTACTGACTTTGTCCACTGCTGCGGGCAAGACACTTCAGTCCTCTGGAGCTGCTACCACCTCCTCTTCCTCTGCTTGTACAGGCGTGACTTGCGGGGCAGGGCCTGAGTGCCTGCCTGCACCTTGTCGACGCTTGGCTCAGCACAGCATCCTAAGGGAGAGCTCTCCACACTGGCACAAAACCAGATCAGTGAACACAATAGGAAAACAATCCCCCGGCCGCAGCAATGCGGTTTTGCAATTCATAACTAACTAGAAAGAGAAGGAAGGGTACAAGAAAGGTAAAAACCAGAACTGCATGCTGAGCTGTCTGAGGCAGCAAGAGCCTCTCCCAGGCTGTGCACACACACATGCGCACATACAGCAGAGCCTTCTAAGAAACTATGGACAACTAATTGTAGGGAGACTCGGGGGAGAGGAAATGAAATGAAAAATTGAGTCTGAGTTATAAAAATAAGTAATTTTTATCCTACTTGCAGGAGGCTTATATTAATTAAACATTATTACAGCGAATGAGATGGGGAGGGTTATTAAGTCTGGGGCTGGCTGTAAGTGTTCTCTCCTGTTGCCTGAGGCTCCACTGAGCTCCAGATACTAATCTTCTAAAGCACTCAAATGCTGAAGAGATAAACACTTGAAATATGAAAATGTTTTTCTCCATAGCAGGCACTGTGACCCTATGTCACACCAAAGAATTTGTCAGATGTCCATATAGGCTGTGTTTACAGCATTACCGTGTCTCTTAGAAAAATGCCGAGCACCTCAGGAGCTGAAGAGAAATGATGTGTGCATTTGTGTGGGGGTGATTTGTGTGTGGAGATGTAGCAGATTCTCCTCTTCCCATATGTTTCTGGAATACATATTTTCCTCTTTAGCACTGCCTACCAGGTGTTGGCTGCACGGCTTTCCAACTGGCTGGCGGCACTGCCAATCTGGCCAGCGCCTCTGCCAGGTGGCTAACAGGTTCGCCTGAATGTTTGCATCTCGAGACTCAACCTTCCCAGGGGGAGGGCAGGGAGGAGCCCACAGCATGCATGGCTCCCTGGGCACATGGCATGCAGACACTCGAGTCACCGGGCATCAGGGCAGAGCTGAAGGCAGGTAGGATCAGCCAGCTCTCCCTGGGGGAGCCTAGAGTTTCATAAGCAATGACTGACAGTGAAGAGAAGTGATGCTACAGTGATGCAGTCTACTGTTATAAGGAAACTGGCAAATGTTCTTCATGCCACCCGTGCCACAAAGTCAACGAGGGTAAGGAAAGGGCACCAGTCCTGGGGTGAGTTCCAAGATATGAAGCTGAAGAACTTGATCAACCGCACTGCCAGAGGCAGGCTCCCTTCCAACCCATGCCAGCACGTCTCAGTGAGATCCTCCATAAATTAGGCTCTGCCATGCTCATGTAAATCTTCTGCTTCCAAAGCACACAGGAGAAAAAGAGCAAAAGTCAAACAGCAAGAAGCTGGCATATTTCAGCATTCTTAAGGTTTAACTCATCCTTCACCCAGAGGAGGCTGAAATCCAGCCTATGAAAGTCCATAGTGCAGAATAGGTAAAGACTATAGACAATCCAAGCAACATATGGGGGGAAGAAATGCATCTCTAACAAAAGAGGAAATGCATTCAGGGGAAAAAGCACTGGGTCTTACAGAAGACATTTGGCTCAGGATGTGGAACAAAGCCCAGGCTAACCTTCATGGTCACAGGGGATTCAAAGCCTACTGTCTGATTGAAGACTATCTCAAGAGCATAGTTAGCATAATTCAGTGCCAGCGGTCACACTCCTATAAATAAGTCATGAACCATAGAGCAAAGCATCTGAAAACTTCCACAAAAGAAAACATTCAGCTCTGTACAGCCTTCACAACTCTTGATAGCTTTGCAGTAATCAGTCATACTGTTCACATGGAGAAAGACCCATCCCCACTCTCTTCCCTGCTTCAGTGTGGTATTAACCATCTTACCAGGCACAGTCTCAGGGCTTGGTTCAGAGTTGCCAATCCAGGTGCTTGTAGGCTGAAAAGACCATGTATAACCTGTTGCCAAGTCATGTGACCAACCACACAGGTCTTCAGGGAGATCAAAGTTGCAGCTGAAGTTCACAGGGAGGTGGAAATCTTATAAAAAGAAACAGAAGCAAAATAAAGTTGGATTAAAAAGTGACCTACCCATAAAGGGTTGCTATTAAAAAACAACCCAAAACCTAAAATAGCTGGCAAGCCGTAAGTACTGAACAAAGCATGAAATCTCACTCACGCTGATGCTTTAAACTTATCTCAGATTTCGTCAGCTCCAGGGATCAGCCTTAAGTTCTGCATCATCAAAATGCTCACACCACGTCCTGAGGCTAATCCACCAAACTAAGCAAATATAAAAGCAAGTACCAAATGCTTCCAGACTCTAATCAGCACCTTCCCTTCATCCCTTACAGCGCTCAAATATTAAATGCCTTCTTAAATGTCAGGGAAGAGCACTTCCTGAGTGCCCTGTGCTCATCAGTTCCTGCTCTGGCTCCAAAAGGAGAATCTCAAGTGCTCCAGAAACCCAGCTCCTGAGTGACAGATCTAGCCACTTGCACCAGACGGGAGCTGTCTGTCAACGTGGCGAGCTGTCACTCACCACTCCCTACCTTCTCATGGAAATGCTACCAGGGGAAATGTGGGGCCACCATGAGCTCAAGCTTTTGGATTCTGAGTGAAAGGAGCCAGCCTCTATTTCTAACTCCACTATGGACTCACCACATGGTCTTTGGAAGAATCATTTAACTTTTCATCTGTGAAACAGGAGCAGAGCTAATTCTCCTGTGTCAACAGCTTTAAAAGCTCTGGAGAGCCTTCTTGCAGAGACAGGTCTGTGGGCAGGAGGGCACATGCCAGGGGCTGCATGCAGCAGTGAGGCAGCTGCTGGCTCCTTTGGTTGGGGAGGCAGCCATAAGACACAGAGGCTGCAGAAATGGTCTGAGACCATCCCAAGCACTCAGTAGACATGCACGTCAGAGCCCAATTATAGGCCGGGATTTTCCTGAGCAAAGAGGAAGTTTTAAATCACAGTGCCCACAAAGTGAGTGATAATCAGAAAGAAGTGAGTGACTCAAGCAATAGGCATTGGGGGAACTTTGCTGTGAGGGGCAGAGGGCTTTCTTTACGTGCTCCCACTCTGAAATAAAACAATGCAGATCATGGATCATTTTATTCCAATTTGATCTCATACCCTGCAGAGCAGCATTGTTTCTGTTTGGCTGTCATAAATCTGATTGTCCAGAGAAACACAGTCATTGTTTATAGAGTATGAGAATTAAAATTGTTGCTAAATCTGAGGGAAGCTGACAGGGAGGCTGGTTCCACGGCATACTCTGCTTGCTCTCTCACCCTGGACTGCACCCAGGAATAGTGTTGTTGCAGAGACTATTACTGGCCTAAATTTCCTCTCGGCAGTTTCCCAAGTGCCTCAATGGTAGGAGGGTTGCACAGGCTTATTACTGAGGCAAAGCAGTGAGAATCAAGCTCTTTGAGCTACTCTTGCAACTTGCATTTCCAGAACTGAACTACGGCAGACTCCTGATGGGAGGTGTGAAAAAGCCAATTAATGTTCCTCTTTAAATTTATTTATTTTAAAACCCGTTAATTTTTTCTCTGGGAGTGGAAGCTGACGTGATAGAAGTGCTAGGAGCTATCTCAAAGGACAGCTTTTCCTCATCAGATTTTTTGTGAAGTCCTTGGTAAATTCCCCAGCCCCAGTGCCGAGGCCCAGGGTCTGCTGTCGTGTCCCAAGGGTGTGCATCTCCTGCACACCGCACCCTGCACAGCTCTGTCGAGCCCTCTCCCCTTAATCTGGACATTTCACAAGCTTTAGATGCTCACAACTCCCTTGCAAGGAGCAGAAGAATATGACATCTGCTTTTACAGGTAGGGATCTGAGGCAGAGATGATTAAACCCCCCCAGCACTGTATCTTAACAACCACAGCATGTAGTCTAAACTAACATTCAGCCGCCTCTACAGTCAGAAGAGGCAAGCAAGCGCCACAAATACCAAGGCATTCCCTGTACATCTAACAGCCTATCTAAGGCTGGGAGAACTCCTGCCTGGAGTTAGTGTTTTCCTTTCTCTACTGCCTGCACAAGGAGCCCAGACTGTCCTCCTAAATTTTAAGCAGCTGATATTAGGGAAGATGATCCTTAACAGACAGGTGTTCAGGTCATCAGGCTTCTACATGTCGTGATTTACTCCCACAGTTGTGACCTCTGCAAAAGGAACCCTGCACAGGAGGCAGTCTGAATTGCTCCCCTGAATCACCTTCTGAATTCATGACACCCAGCCAAGGGGATCTGGAACAGAGGTGGCTCTAAACAGGGCACTAAGTGAGTTTCTTCAGGTCATGTAAGGAAACTGGGAGAGCAGCTCTTCAAGTCTCATACCCTAGGGACTGAATTAGCTGCTATCTCTTGCTCTTGCATCCTTTCTTGATATATCTTATCAGATTTTGGGAGGGTTTGTTTGTGGTTTGTTTTTTTTTTTTTAAATCTTGGCCTCTCACTAACAATATTACTCTAAGTTTTCCAGGAATCAGCTCCATGTATAGGAGCTAATGGGAAGATAAGAGTATTTACTTAGCTCTTAACCCATCATTTACTGAGATAGAGATGTGCTGCTCTGATACATACCCTCCTCTTCTCCACAGTTATCACCACACTCGGTTGTCTCTTCATCAGTTGGGTATGGGGTAGTGGTCTCTTCACTCTTCAAAGTGGGCACCAGTGTCTCTGCAGTGGGCTTTACATCTGAAAAAATGGAGTAAAGATGCTACTTGCAGTAGAAGAGTATAAAAAGCCCAGGTAGAAGGAAACTAAGCAAAAACCCCTTTTTCTCATGTTCTATAATGGCAGGAAGAGATAGAACAAGAATACCATGAAATTTCCATGTGCTACAAGTGTCAGCATGGTTTGAACTTCAAGTGAACTGGCTGTTTCCATATGGGAGTTCTTTTGATTTAGAGTTCCCCTTGGACAAGGCTCTCCTCTAGACATATATGCTACTTTTTCTCTTAATTTTTTAATCTACGCTTGTGTTGGCAATCTGCTTAGCTGTCATTACTGGATAAGAGAGCTCACAGACAGAACGTCTTTTTCTTTCATAAAGGCATATGACACGTTAAAAAAACACACACACAACATTCCCACCAATTGTGCCAATTTATAAAACAAGTCACTCAACCCACAAATGACGTAACCGCAAACGGACTCAGAGGATCCCCTGGTGCGCTCTGGCTCACTGCAGAAAGCATCTGGTTTCACACTCCAGGCTCCTGACTAGGCTTTCAAAGTGTCTCTCTCCAATTTCCCTCTCTCCAACATGGCCCGTGTGAAACAACCTCCAAGCAGGTGTCAGGGGAAATTTAAGCAAGAAAGGGAAGAATATTAAGAGCAACAGTAAACGACATTAGGTTCCAGCAGTCTCTCCTTTTATGGGTGCGTTAACTGTAGTACAGCAGGCTTGATTCTTTCCACTTTTAAAAAGAGGTTGCTTTGCTCAGTTATGTGTGATTGTGTTTCTTTGTCGGCACCCTTCAGGATATCATTTAATAAAGCCAGAAACAGGAGGAAATGGCTAAATACATTGAATATTTTCCATAGGCTCCTTTCTGCCCTTTTATTTTCCTGTTATTAAACATGTTGCACATAAAGTCTCAGGTTTTTTTTCCCCCCCTTTTTTTTTTTTCTTTTCCAGTGGGTGTCTTTTGTTCAGGATAAAATACCAAACAACCTCAAAGTCTTTTAATTTGTAAGTTCAAATTTGTTACAACCCCATGAAAGTCCAAAAGCAACCAAGAAGCAAATTGCAAGCAGTCAGGCACAGAAAAATGTCATAAAAAAAGTTTAAAAAAAAAAGCAGCAGGTGAAGGCAACATATCAAAAGCTTCAAGTTATTTAGAGCTGATACATTTTTTTTAGGTTGTTGTTCTTGTATATTGAGATTTATAGCTGAAATGTGACAATGTCAAAGGACCTTGAAAGCCAAGTCCCATACGGGACACAGATGCTGAGCGGATGTAAATCAACAGTGTTGCATTGCCCTGGACAAGCCGCAGAAATATATCTTGAAAAATCAGTTACCATGGCAGAGCCGCAACACGATGGTTACAAGAGATAATGAAAATAGCAGGGAGGATAACGTGATGTGTGAAATGGAAAGTGAAAAAGAGAGGTCTTGCTTGCTCGCTTTCTCTCTCCCTGGCCCAGCAAGTGTCTGTGCAACTGGTGGTAACTGCTGATCAAAATGCAAAGTCACGGAGCAATTGAAACCAGATGTTTGCAACTTCAAAGGAGAGAAGACCAGCTGCAAGTGAATGTTCATCAATCTCCACTCTTCAGAGGAAAAATTTTGGCAGGTCTTTGAAAGAAGGCAATTGCTGACTGCCTGCTTCCCAATTTTTGAGTTACTAGCCAACCAGTTTGTGAGCCCAGTTGCTGTTAAGTTACCTGTTTGACTCGGTAATTAAGATACTTGTTACTGGTAAGAAATAGAAATAGCTGGGCAGGGTACACATGGGCTTAGGCCCTCACTTGAAAATATTTTCAATCAGCTTATTTTAATCCATCTCTTAATCTTGTTCCCAAGCAAGTGCAATTGCCTGGGTTTTCGCAGCCAGTTCTGTAATGTGCCTGGGTCCTCCCAGCAATGGAGAGCTGTATCCTGGCTTTGTTAAGGACTGCTGTATGTGGCCAGACTGGATTTAGCATGCAGATAATGCCATGGGCTATCTCTGCTCCCCAGGTTGCATCAGGGATATAAATGCTTTTTATAACATGGTGAATCCGCAAGATTACAAGCCTTGCTCTGATTACAAAGCTGAGCGCCTGTAGATCAATAAAGCTACGAATATTTATGACTTGGCAGTTGAGTTTTAAACATTACAATGTGCAAATGATTAGACAGACACACTGGGAAATGACCACAGAGCACCCTGCCTGGAAAAAACACAGGCTGTTGCTGCTAACGTTGAAACCGAGCATGGACATAGCTGTAAAAGAAAATTTGGACCAAAAATAGCACAAGAAGTTGAGGATGCCAAACCCCTCATTCTCTAATTTGGAGTAGTGCAATGGAGGGGCTGACATGTACATGGTTGGACGTCTTGTGTGACTGCCCCCCTTTGCAGCAGTGACGCAGCGCTGTGATGCACCAGACAGCAATGCTCTGCAGAGATCTGGCAGCTGGACACTCCCAGGAGCTGCAGGAAGCAGCGATGTGGGAGCTGCCCGACTTCTGCACTGAGCCTCAGCTCCCACTGCTTGCATGAAAGCCACGGTGTCTGCTTCTCCTACAATATCCCAAAGATCTTGTAAGATTTAAATTAAGATCTAATCTTGATTTAAAGTTTAGATCATTTACAATGGATTCCCAGTCCAAGAGGAGATTTGCCATTGACTTCAAGGGTGACAAATGTTCATTATTAATTGTGTGTACATCAGTTGTGTCATTTGCTCTTAAGTGTTTATAATACATCTCACAGCACATCACAGGAAGAAAGACTCCACAAAAGGGTGGAAAAAAGCTCTGTATCTTTTAAGCTTCTTAGAATGGGAATTCTTACAAGAAAATGCCATCTACAGATGTGTTTATAAAATGGAAATCATACCTCTATCATGGACATCTGGACACCAGATTCAGATTGAAGCAGATTATTAAAAAATAAAATAGATTAAAAAAAGGGACAACTAGCCTCTGGCACTGAAAAGCTAACATCAGACCCAATGAGCTGTTGGGTTCATTTTTGGCTTTTGGGGATGAAACTATGTAGCACCCAATCACCTTGAGCCTCAGAGAGTCAGAGGCACAACCTCTACCAATCCCAATGAGCACGTTAGACAGTTTTCACCTCTGTATTAAAAACAGTGGTGGCTGCGAGGCATACCACTTGTAAAAAACAGGTGGGCGAAAGTGAACAAACTTCCCTGGTCTTAGGGATGTTGTAGAGACTTTGTAGAGTTAAATCCCCAACCTTGTCTGCAAAAGGATTTCCACATGGGGTTCGGTAAGACAGGGACAGTTGTTTTTACAGCAAAGCCTTATTGTGGCAGCTCAAGATACCTGTACTGGACACTGCACCCCTCTTCTGCTCCTCTGCTTCTCTTCCTACTTTTTATCTTATTGATTTGGATTAAAAAGCCTAAATGTTATCTAACATGGAGACTGGGAAAGTCTGCACAACATCCTGCATGGGCCTCTGTGTGAAAGCTTGGATTGGGGTCCAAACATTGCTGCTACATCGTGCATCAACGTCAGTTCTTTTTAAGGTTGAAGTAAAAAGATGGGGTCAGGCCGCACTGCGGGTCCTGCCTTCACGGCTGCAGCCTCTCCAACATAGCATGGCCCTGAGGTGGGACAGCAGGAGAGGAAATAACCTCACACTTTCACCTTGCTGGTTTCGTGCCTGCTGTGGCCCCGAGGGAGCTAGTGGGCAGAGGCGCAGGGGCTCCTACCTGTCCAGTCGCAGCCCAGCACCTCCAGGCGCATTCCTATTCCTGCTGGGGACCACCTCTCCGGGTGCACTCGGACGTACTGGGCAGGAACAGGGTCAAACCTCCGGACTTCAGGGATATCGTAGTGGATGTTGCCTTCAAAAAGCTAGAGAGAGAGAGAGAGACAGAGAGAAAAGGCAAGTGATGTGTGCATCCCTCCACCAGACTTGATAGTTTGGGTCTGGCAGGCCACTGTCACAGTTTGAAATAGTTTAGCTGTCTGACTGTTGGCCATCATGTCCAGCTGAGCAGAAATCAGGCTGTCCCTCCTCAGTTTCAAGAGGACCAGACAGGCTGTTTCTAAGAAACTTGCACAATCTCTCCTGGCCTCTGCTTTATATGCAGGGGTCAGATTCTGATCCAAGCCATGCAAGGGATGCCTGGGGAATATCCACTAAGTTCACATATAAATAAGATCTGACTTGTCCTTTGGCAAATAAAGAAGCTACTGCATGTTCTAGGATAGTGTAAACTCTCAGTTTTCCTCACAGTCCAAGAACTGCTGCTTTTCAGCTTACGTGCACGAACTCAAGTCTGTGGAGAATAAACAGAGGGCTATGGATAGCATTAGTCCTTCTAAGACTCATTTGTAGGATCAGGAGAAAATCAAACTTATTCATATTTTCAGAAGCAGATGAGTTTGCATAAAAACAGCACAGGCAGTAGCTGATAATTTGTTTATTCCTCAAGCCCCCTGCCACTCTCATACTGCTAAGCAGAAAGATTATGGGGAACTCCAACAATACAGGAAAAACATGGGGAATTTCAGGGTCACACCAATGTTGCAAAAAGGACTTCACATATAGCACATTTCCCAAAGAGAAGTTGATTCATCTTCCTCTTCCAGACGTGCAAGCCACAACAGCACCTTTCCCCTTAAAATATGTAACTAGCCTGTGTCAAACATAATTAACACACCACCTTGTGGGCTCTGACCTGCAAGAGCTGGGAGGACCAGAATATACACATCCCCAAGGCCTGGTCCACAACAAGAAATAGAGGCAAACTGCCATTCCTGGGGCAAGGTGGAACCTACAGCCTCTAGTACAAGCATAGGAGCAGCACCGGGGGACACAACGTGGGATTTCATGGTGACAACCCAGACTCCCAAGGTCTCTGTGGGGAGAGACAGCTAACTTCCCAAGACCCCATCAGGCAGACTGAAGATAGTCAGAAACGTATCTTGTTTTGCAGCTTCTCCAGGCAGTGCCTACCTTGGCTTGCATTGTTTTGGGGTCCTGGATGAAGTCCCAGTCCTTTCCATTCATGCTATAGGCCACCTTAAACTTCTTCACAAAGGAGCGGGACTCAGTGGCGGTCACGCTGTCCCCTCCGCGAGCCCCCTGGATAATGACGCCTCTGACATTCTTCGGCACGCCAAGGTCTACCTGCAGCCACTCCTCCCCAGGCTGGGCTTGGGGGATGCGGGGAAACCAGCCTGAGCGGCTGCTCACCAGGCGGGCCATGCTGGGAGACCAGTCGTAGCCTCTGATGGAAGAGGCTGAGATCTGTGAGTCAGGAATGAGGCCAGAAAGCATTCCCAGCAAGTTGGAGCAAGGTGAATCTGCAGGGAAGGAAAGGGCTATTGAAAGGAGCGCTTGTGGTTTTCCCCGCTGGTTTAAGCTCTGGACACTAAACCAGCACCAGCACTGGCCACTTTCCCTTTGCCTCTGGGGCCTGGGTGCCTCCCCCCACAGGCAGATCCCTTGAGATGGGTGCCTCCATGCTGCTCACAGTGTCGCTGTTCCCACCCCAAGCAGGCATGACAGCTGTGGGGGACAGCACCCCGGGACAGGCTGTCAGAGGGACAGGCAGGAGGGCTGAGGCCGAGGGGACCCTCACCAGTGATGCGGCAGCCATACAGCTCCAGCCTCAGGGCAATGCCGTTGTGCCAGCTCTGGGGACGGATGCGCACAAAACGTGTGAGCACCGGGCTGTGGATCTTGTTGAGAACCACCTCCGTGGCATCCTCGTTGGCCTGAAATGTCTGCAAGAGAGTGGGAGCACAAATATGGTTATGTCCTCTCCAAACAGAAAGAAATAACCAGCAGTTGAAATAATCTCAGCAGGGAAAACAGAGGAGAGGCTTTCTGGGCAGGGCCAGCCTCGAGCAGGGCATGGATCCAGGGGCAGGCAGGGATTGCTGAGCCGCTGACAGGACAGCACGGGGGATGGACTCGCCCATCAGGCAGGAGATCCAGGAGCTTGCTGCCCCCGCTGCCTCTCACAGCACCCTGAGGCACCTCAGACTTTCAAGCCACAGCTGCTTTGAGCTTGCCTCCTAACCTAGTGCTGCTCCAATGCAAAGAGCCAGATGTCCCCGAACACCGCGTGAGATCTTGCCTCCCCTCCACAGGTAAACGTGCTGACATCCTGACACGTCCTCACATCCAGCTCCCCCGGGAAGCATCATGTGCAAGGAGCGGCGCAAACAGGGAGGATGCTACCTCTGCCTGGGGTGACAAGCTGCCGTCCCAGACAGTCCCTCGCCCCTGCCTCTCCAGTGCACATGCAGCCTGCCACACACAGACAGCTTTTCAGGACAGTTTATGATCTGACATGATATGGCCTTACCAGATGGCCATAATCAATAACTACCAGATGGACGTTACACCCCTCCTGCCCATTCTTTTAATAGGACAGACAAAAACTTGTGGTTTTGTTTCAGGCTGTGGAGCCATATTGGGGAAGAAAAGGGAGGAAAGAGGAAATATCCAACGTGAGGGTAATTTTCAACCCTTTCTCTGCCTCCAGCATAAAGCACTAAAGATCACAGATTGAGGCTGCGGGCACTGCCTGCTTCCCCTCCAAGCACACAGGCTCTCAGGACAGGACTAGAGTATCCTCCGATCTCAGCCAGGAACTGCATCCGCACCGAGATGTTGGCTGGGCTCTTCTGCAGGCTCCTACCCTGCATATGCCGTGTTAAGCACAGGAGCTCCTGCTAAGTTTATCTCAGAGTGAAGCAGGAGACTGTAATCTCTGGCACTGATCTCCTTCTGTCGGAGGCAAGAGTCAAACAATTCAGCTGCAGATCCCTGTGATCCGGGACAGAAAAACAGGCGAGGCTGTATCCTGGTCTCTCACCTTGTATAGCCATTAAGAATTTTATAAGCCTCCCACCGCTCTAGGGCTGAAGGAGGCACATGTTACTGCTCTTCTGCCAGGACCCAGCACACCAGGGTGTGCAGAGGGTGTCTGCGGAGAAGGCAGTGGCTGTTCACAGCACCACAACCAGCTCTGGGCTGCCCCTGCATGTCACTGTCCAGCCGGGGATGGTGGCACTCCTGCCAGGGCAGGGAGCAGCCACCTCACAGGGGGCCTTGGTTGTAAATCTGGCTGGTAATTGGGATTTGGGGTTGATGTGAATTTGAGCAGAAATGCTAATCTGGAGAGTATATATCATGCTGCTACCATTTAGCAACACAGCATGGTTTATGTGTTTTTAATATCCTATCTTATCCTGTCTGACCCCACCTCCCATCCTTTTCCCTGCTCAGCAGACACCAAATACCCTTTTTTCCAGCAGGAGGGCTGTAACAAGAGTGGTTACTGTGCAACACTCTCCAGGCATGCATGCGTGTGTGTCTTGTAAACCTGTGGGAACACACACACACAGGCTGAAAGGATACATTTCCACACTACAACAAAGCCTCCAGCTTTATGTCAACACAGAAGCTGACATGCAACACCTTACCTCCGAACCTAACACTGGATGACAGGAAATGTTTATCTGAGCCAGTGCAACTATTTTAGTATGAGGAGCAGCATGTCAGGTCTGCCCAAAGGTCACTCTGTCCCAGGGGGTGGCTCCTGATGGTGGTCCCAGCAGATGCCTGGGGGCAGCAAGCCCGGGGGAGTCTTCTCCTGGCAACCTCTCTTCGCTTCCCACAATCAGCAGTTTGAAGACTCCACGAGCCAAAGGTTGCATATGGACCAGCATGTTTAACAGTCACTGACTAGGTTTGCTGCTCTTTTTGGTTTAACATATTTCCAGTTTTGTTCTTTTTTAGCTCACTTCACACATACAAGCATCAGGGGCCAGAATCCAAATTTACACCAGTGTAATTTGTTGCTGACTTCTGCAAAGTCAAGCTTGACAGAAAGCAGAAGCAGGACCGAGCCCAAAAACTTCATCACTACCACATGCGTTGCTGAAAGAATCTCTTACACGACCTTAGTCCTAACCACCTGCTTCCAAGGAGAGCAACCTCAATTCTGCTTTGCATTTGGGGCACGGTAATTTCTTCAGACTAGATCACATTCCACAAGCTACGCAACTCTGGAGCCTTGACATGCCAGTTTATGAGGGCAGAAATGGAACCTGACTTCCAGCTCTAGTATCAGCTGCACTGGCAGGATCTGCCCCAGTGAACCTTGTTTCTGAAAAGCCCCAACTGATCCTAGCAAGTCATTGCTTCACACCTGTTCAGCATAACAGAAGGGGCTGTTTTCAGAGGGCAGATGTTTAATGCTGTTAGAGAAGTGGAGTCCTCCCACAAGCCTGGCCTTTCAGACTCTTCCCAAGTGGAAACGCGTCATGAGCCCGCAGGTCCCAATGCTGCTGACCAGGGTCTGACCCTGAGTGTTTCTGCACTGAAAATGCTGACCCCAGGGCCCAAGCGCACTGTGGAGAGTCCCATTGACTTGAACAGGTTCTACATGCTGCCTCAAATTAGCACTCACGGCATGGGAAGAACTAGCAGGAAAATGTGTGAAATTGGGAGCGCCAAGAAAGCAAAGATTTCTTCCCCCTTACCAAAATAGAACATTGCTATTCCTCCCATCCTATCTGCTTCCCATCCCACTCAGCACATATTTTGAGCCAAGTCTTCGAATGGTGTAAATCAACATATCACCATCGAAGTATAAGAAGTCACAGTAATTTACACCAGCAGAAAAAAAAATAATCTGGCTGTGATCTAGGGAGTTAGATAGATACACCCTCAGCAGAGCACACATGCGCATGCACACGCACTGAGGGTGACGGAGCCAGAAGACAAATGGGAAAACCATTAACAAATTAAAAGTACCTTCCAAGAAGCAGTCAGGGAACTCCTTTTCACCGCTGCATCAAAAGAGCCCATCCCCTCCCCATATACTTTATGTTTACTTCCGTTTTAGTCCAGTCGGCAGGTCTACATATATAATTAAATTGATCATCAATGAGAGCTGAACTAATTAATTTGCTGCAGAAAGCAAGTGGTGGGAGATGGCTAAGAGAGAACTGAGCAAGTTTGCCATGTGTACACACATGCAAGCTCCACACCAACACTTACAAATTGTATTTCTGACATGTTGGAACTGCCGTGGGGTGATGGGGGGGATTTCTGAAGCTGCATTAGTTCCAGTGGGTATGGGAATTGTGCCAACAGCAGTTTGGAGTGAAGGGAGTGAAGTACAGGGAGACAAAAAGTGCCGTGAAGTCGAAGCAACAGCGAGTCAGGGACGGGGTGGGAGGAACCTCTCTCCCGCTTTATTTATTGTGCTGCTGGGCCACTATGCAATTTCTTGGGGAGCTAAAGAAAGCAGCTGGGGGAGGCAGAGGAGAAGGCCAAGGATGGCAGCAGCCCTGCTTTTGTCCATATGTATGTGTCTCTCTGGACCCACTAGATTTACTGCAGGATTATGTTACTCCCGTGGAGACAGAGCCCTGGAACAGAGTATGCTAACAGGATTAGGGCTTCAGGATTTAGACAGAGAAGCATGAAGGAGAAAAGTAGGGGAGATTATTTTCCTTGTCAGATAGGGAAGGCATAAAATGGGGCATGTTTGATGGTGGGAGGATTCTGGCTCAAGTGGAGGGTGGATAGTTCTGGATTTATTAAATCCAGGAACAAGGAGGTAAAATAAAAATGATACTTGGCAACACTTGATGAAGCACAGCCGTCTGGGCAAGGCACAGCGTGCTGGGCTGGGCTTGCCAGTGCTGTGTCTTTGAGAGGTTCCACTCAGATCTAGGAGTCACCAGGGATGCAAGGATGGCACTCTGTTAGCCTGCAAAGGAGATATCAGGCCCAGAAGTACAAAGCTGCAGCCTTGCTAGGAAAGCCAGGGCTGTAATTCTCCCCTGGTACTGCACCAAGTGTGAATGTGAGGGGCTGCCTTTCCCAAAGCCTGATGTCTTTGTCCTGCCTGCAAAAGCAGCAGAAGCAAACTGGGACCTAGAGATGCTTCTGGGCAAACACTGCACCATAATGTCTCTGTGAAGAAGCACTTGTGGCCTTCTGGATGATCATGCAGGCTTTTCCTGGTTTTTCCAGATAAAGAAGCCACAGGACTGAAAGCTCTTCTCACCCTCCTCAGGTGGATGAACACAGGAGACCTCATTAAGAACCAAAAGGAGAGAGGAATGATCCTAAGGGAAGGCAGAAGGGTCTCCAAGGAGCGATGACTCAATATTGTCTGCCAGCACCAAACACCCCTGACGTCCCCAGATCCATGCACAGCTGAGAGCTCTTTGCAGCAATTTAACCTGCCTTCTTGCATCTACCTAAATACCTCTCAGGAAGGTTAGCTGATAACAAGCACAGAAATGGAAAATGCACATCAGCTGGATCTTGCTGCCATTTCTCATCCATTGACTTCTACAGATTCTCAAAGCAAATGCTTCAGTTGCATCCTCCCATTTTATACACAGAGCAATGGAGGCACTGAGAGCACCCATCACAGTCCCAACCGGCACTCTGAACCCTGAAACCCATCCCATCCCCCAGGCCCTTGCCACACTAGATGATGTCCATGAGTGGATCTCTGCATACTAAGATGAAGCCAGCTCAGACCACACGGGAGCTGGAACACAAGACCCTACAAAGAACGAAGTGGATCAGAATGGATGAGCACTTTGTTTTCTGATAAAATTCATAGTTGAATCTGCCTGAAGAAAATGGCCGAAAACAAGAGGTCAAATCCTGCCAGGTGCTCTTTTCCTTCCTTGAGTTCAAGAATGAGTTGTTGTTTTCTAAAAACATTTGCAAACTGCTAGATAAGATCTCTGTGCACACACCAGGGCTGGTGCCTGGAAGATAACCTCTGGGGCCACTGACTCTGGAAGACACAGAGGGGGATGTAAATGGGGAGGGCAAGAGCCAGAGCAGCCTTTCTAAGGCAGGGGTTGTTTAGCCCTGTCCTATAGGGGTGTGCTGGTGGGTAGTAAGGGGGGAGTGTGGGGCAACACATGGTGGTGGCTGCTCTCCTTCCCATCTCCTCTCTTGGGGGACACACGGGAAGACAGCTCTGCACCTTCAGCCAGGTCGCTGGGCTAGGCTCTCCTCCTGGTCCCACCTCCTGGGGAAGGACAGGACGTCACCCCCTGGACAGGGGGATGTCTGGGCTGTGCTGGGCACGGCTCTGTGAGGAGCGGGCTGCCAGGCAGGGGCAAAGTCTGGCAGAGATGGGGTGGGAAGGGGAAAGCCTGGGTGTGGGGCTTCTCTCCTGCCGGCTGCAAACCTGCCACTGCCTTCCCACTGCCTCCCCACCCCAGAAATGCAGCAGCGCTCGGCACGGAAACAGCCCAGCCAGCTCTGTCTGCTGCGAGGACGTATTAATCTTGTTTTCCTTTGCTTCATCCTGCCTTTCCCATTTCCCTCGCCGTGAGTGCCAGCAGCTGGGGACTCAAAGGTGAACCATCACATTTCACAGGGAAACACCCTGGCCTCACTCTCCTCGGAAACACCAGAGGGAGGGGAAGCAGGAGGGTGAAAGAGAGGAGGTCAGAGCTCCCTCCCCATCCTCTGCAGAGAGCATAATCCCCTCCCCACCCCTCTTGCACTCACTGGTTTCCTCTTGTTTTAGTTCCCTGATGAAGACTCAGACGTTCGCTGACCCCGCCTGTAACACGGCAGTGCTTTGCTTTTGGTCCACACAGTCGGCACAAATTCAGACCAGTGTCTGATACACCCCATATGCCTATGTGTGCATGTGCATATATATATATGGATGTGTATATATATATATTTAGATGTGTATATATATATATATATATATATATATATGTATCTATCTGCATGTATATAGAGGAATAGAGAGTCCCTGTCTGTCCACCCCCTCCCCTCCCTCCCCACTCCTCATGGCACCAAATCAAGCTGCGGCAGACTTGACAAATCTATTTGGCATGGTTCGCTCCACTGTTGCAGCCTGAACTGTGCAGAGCGCTGCACTGACGAAGGGAGGAATCTGCACCTTGAATACAGACATCTGGGAGCTTGCCTAACACAGGAACGGCAGGGATTAATGCGGGTGGGGAACGTGGGGCCAGAGCCCCCGGCACCAGGCCCATGAGCAAGAGGCTTTGCCCTGGCCCTGCTGTGGCTCGGTGGCTGGCAGCCAGTTGTTCGTCAGGGAGGGAAAGCAGTCACCCAGATGCAAGGGGTAGGTGAGCCACCAAAAAGCAATTATTTATCCTCCAGCCTAGAGATGTGTCTGTTAAATTGAGGCCAGAACATGGGAACAAAGTGAGACTGGAATAAAGGAGTAAAAAAGGGGAGGTTTGATTTTTCCTCTTTTTTATGAAGAGAGAAAACAGAGCAGAAAAAAGATGATAGAACTCAGGGCCACATCCTGAAATGGTGGCAATTCACGTGGCTATGGGACTGCTTCAGGTTGACACTCAAAGCCAGGCTTCAGGGTCTTGCTGGAGCAATGTAAATTGGCCCAGCAGCACTGAAACCAGCTGTGCTGTCCTGCTCCACCCTCACTGAGGATCCAGTGTCCAATGAGCCTCTGAGACTGCAAGGATGGGACATCTCTCCCTGGCGACTAAAATCACCCTCCAGGCCAGATTCCCACCCCAGTTAGACTCTAAAAGGTAAATCTATTGCCAGTGGCTATTTGAAATGCTGAACTGTGTATTTAGCCCATCTCTCTGCCCCATGTGTTGCCAACCTCCCATGTGCCTCAGCTTGCAGAAACACTCCCAGCGAGACTTCAAACTCATCCATTTCCACGGGGTGCCCAGGGTGAGGAGAGATGCCCCTGGTTCACAGAAAGGTCTGGTGCAGCAAGTCCTGGGAATGCACAGAGCCTCCACACCAGCACACGGCCACTGTGGTAGGGTTATACACAAGTGCTGCCCTGAGCTGCAGCCCAGCTCACCACTAGGTCTGGGGGAACCCAGCAGCTGACTCTCCTATGGGGTGATGGGCTGCCCTGTGCTTCCATCTCCTTACCTCTAAAATAGGACTAACACCACCCCACTGGCATGCAAGGAGCTTAAATACTCCAAACATTGGAGGTATGAGACCCTGCTAGGGGCCTCTGCACAGAGAAGACTCATTCTGGGAAGCAGAGTGGATTTGAACTGTGAGACACACTTGTGGGGAAGGGGAAATCACATGGCCCGGAAGGGAAGGAAATGTCTGAATGAATCCTGGACAAGGCACGCTACTGCATTTCATGCCAGCAGTGCCTGTGCCAGCAAATGGAGGGGACAGCTAATTTAACAGAAGTGCTGAGCAAGCAGAAATTGCTGGGACATGAGTGTGGAGGGAAGGTGTGTGGGACCCCAGCCACTGAGTTCACACAGACAGATTATGGCAGATCAACGGGGAGAACCTGAACCGCAGCAGCAGTGCTGGTGGGCACCACAGAAGAGCAGGGAAGGGCTTTCCCATGGTGCCCTTAACCTGGGGACAACCACACAGGCAAGGACCAGCCCGGCACCATGGCTTTTTTAACCCCCCTCTCCCCATATGCCAAAGCTCTCATGTGAACCACCTCGAGTTTGTCTCACCGGGCCACACAACAGCACCCGCAAGGCTTAGAAGGGCTAAACACCCATATGTACCCTCAGTCCTGCTCGCTCCCATCTCTATGTGCCTCCCAGAAACATGGCAAGAACATGCAGCAACTCCCAGGGCTCAATTCATCCTTGCTGACCGGATCTGCTAGTGCAGATCCCACAGCTCTGGCAGCCTGAATTGCTCCTCATTATTTATTGTTCATTTCGTTCTCTGGGATGGTGCAATCCTCTCTTAGGATTTGTGCCCTTTCATTTCCAGGCCTCAGTAACTCCTGAACTACAGTTTCATGCGGTTTTGTGATTGTTAACCCAGCATGCAGACAGGGCTATGGCCATAAAAGCTCAATGAATCTTGTAGGGCAAAAGACAGGCTGTGAAAGCATTTTCTCCTTCATTTGCAGTCAAAGAACATACTCTCGCCACCACGAAAGATGCAACAGCAGCCAGGTTTTCCAAGGAACAGTGTTTCCTTATTGCTATGCAGAGGAGAAAGGACTGTTACTGCTCAGAGTAGTCTTTTAGCCCTCATCAGAAAAAGGGTCCCTCACAGATTAAACCCTCCAGGCCTGTAAAATCTCTCTGTTCTCTTCCCTTCTGTTGGCTGCAAGACTTACCAAGGCATATGCAGAAGGGACAAAAAGGCTTTTACCTTGTGGTTTTTCCCATGTCGGTACATCATCCAGTCCTCCCCATTGGTGCTGACCTCCAGCTTGTAGGTACGGACGTAGTAGCCATTCTGGGTTTCTCTGGAGATGGCACCCTGTGTGGCAATGGCTGTGAGCACAGTCAGGAAGTGGAGGTCCACCTTTCCAAGGGAAAAAGGGACAAGAGAGAGAGTGGTGACCACCTGAGAGCCCAAGATGGCTAGTTAGTTCCTCCCTCAGACTCTGAAAAATGAAAAGGTGCAAATTCAGTCTGTCTCACTCCATCTGTGTGCCCATATTTCAACAGGTACAACCCTCCCCGGCTGACTTCAGCAGGATGCTTGCAGATAGGACCACAGGACATGAGTAACTAAGGATCTTGGTGTTTGTCCATATGGACCATCACAAAGCCTTCTTTCTGCTTCAGACCAAGCAACACGATCGGCACAGAAGCTCATGTCCATTAAAACAGGACTGAGGCTGACTTCTTCCATGGAAAATAAAAGCATGATGTCCAATTAGCAAGTACCGCAATTCTTGGTTTTCCCTTGGTTGTTTTGTTTTGGGTTTTTTTACAATGTGGGTTGAAAAAGGTCAGCAGAGCTGGCTTAGTAGCACTGCCATGAATGAAGAATGAGATGTCTGCTAGAGGCAATGACATTCACCACCTCCTGTTCCTAGTGCTCTCCAGCAAGCGGGGTCTCATGGCAATGTGACACAGCCAGAAGTCCTGTGCAGACAGAGTCTGTGGCTTATAACCAGCTCCCAGGGAAAGCCTTTGCTCTGTCAGCTCCCTACCTGACATTAGACTCATGCTCCCTGCATCACTGATGAGATAAATATTATTCTAGTTGTTTTTCCAAGCACCCCCTGGAGACTTCGGTCCTCAGGCCAGTGGCAGAGTCAGTGGCCTTTGTAAGTGGCAGAGGCTTCCTCAGTCTCTGTCAATATGCTGGGAGGTTCATCAAGGTTTTAGGCAGGAAGGAGGGGGTGGGAGAGGGACAACGAGTTGAGCCAGCCCTTGTGCAGGCATGCTTAATGGGAGAGCCAGCCCATCTCATTTCATGGAGGCACCGCAGCTCCCCTGCTGCTTGCTCCCCACGAGCCACAGAGGCAATAAAAAACTCAACAAGCCTTATGGTCAAGGATCAGTTTAACAGCATGACAGTCCATTTGGAAGTAGTGAGGTGAGGGGGCTGGAAAGCTTGCATACCTGGAGGTACTCTTTGTTGCTGTCTACATTGGGGGTCCAGCCGTTGTGATCACTGTTGAGCCGGCTCTGTTGAGGGGTCCATCGCCCATCTGAGTAGGTGGAGGAGGCACTGATCTGCATGTTGGAGATCCTGCCAGACTCCATCCCCAGTGGCACGTTGCACTGGAAGTCTGAAGCAGATACAGACACAGATCAGCCTACAGTCTCCGTATTTCACTCCCAAGTGGAAGGCAGCCCTGAACTATCCTCCCCAGCTAACCCCAAGCAAAGCTGCCTGCCTGGAAAGATGAACAGATCTGCACCATCTTGCAGGTTGTGTGTGCTCACAGATGGCACTGAAAAATTAAAGATGAGGCAGCTTTATGATTGTGTGGCCCTCTGAAAACTAATATAGTCTAGATCATTCTCCCTTTCTCTATCTTCTTTACCTTTGCAGTTTGGACATAATTCTGTCCCTTCCCTCCCTGCATTTCCACCAAGATATCTCAAGTCTCCTTGCCACAAAGTTCCCCACCTTCTTGAAGGCAGGAGGTGAAATATAAGCATTGACAAGGCAAGGAGTATGGGCAGGCACAACAGGACGGTGCTTACTGCTGTGCTACTTGCAGGAATGTCAAGGCCTGGAACAGGCAGGTGTAAAGGTTTTGCGTGCAAGTGAGAGTATGGATGCATGTGTGGAAGTGTCTGTGTATATGTGCACGCGCTATATGTGTATCAGGCCCATAGGAATTAACCAGCCAAGAATATGAAAAACTCTCTGGTATGCTTTCATTTGGGCTGCCTCACTTCTAAGGCTTTAAAAGTCATAATTAGCTCAATCTTACTGCACATGTCTCATATTTTATGGCAGCTGTCCTGTAAATACAATAGCAAATAAAACATTAATAGGAAATACCACATGGGCCCAAGCGTGCTGCTGCTGTTAACCAACGGGTCTCCGCCAAACTGCCTGTTTTTAATGTGGCAAGTCAACCCTGGGTAATAATGATGGAGAAGCTAAGATCTCAGCAGTATTATTAAAGTTTCAGGCCTGGCCCTTTAAAAAGCTCTTGTGCTTGATTTCTTAAGCTTTGCGTGTCATAACATTTTATTTTCCAATCCTTTTAAAGAACAGAATAGAAAGATTAAAGAACAGATCAACTGAGTGTGGAGATGGGTAATGATGAAGAGCTCACGCTTGTCTGTAACTCTCACAGCCTCAGCAGAACATCCCAAACTCAGTCATGGAGCAAGATCCTATAACCCAGCTGCCCTAGCGCTGCACAACCTCTGCTTTACCCTGATCTCTGTCATGAGCTTTCAGTGTCGGGTCAGGGACACCCTCTCTTTCTCTGGGACTGAGGGGTGTCCTGAAGGCTTCTACTATTGTATCACAGGTTTACTGTGAAAAGAGGTCGAGAACTGTAGCTCTGATGTAAAAATATCATGGGAAAATAATCTTGAATCTTTCCTCGCCTGCAAGTGTTATCACAAAGAATCAAAATGCTCTTCATTCTCAAAACACACAACTTATTTTCCTCACTCCACATCAATTTATCTCCCTTAACAAGGGATCTAAAACAAATTTTGTTTGGAAATTCTTAGACCTTTAGGCTTTTTTTAATTAGACAGTCAAGAAATTCCAATTTGTAGTTTGGGGCTATGAATTTCTGGAAAACCAGAGAGAGAGAGAGAGAGAGAAAATTTTCCCCTGTGCTTTAATGAATCTGCTGCACCTGCTGGGCTGAAGTCTTCTGCTAAATCCTTTGGGCTGAGCCACATACATGAAGGATTCTATCCCAAAGGGTATTGAGAAGACTTCACAAGCAAGTGAAAAGTCAAAGAAAGGTCAGAAAGTGTGATTCTTACTGAAATCTCATTTCTACCAGAAAGAGAGAACACACCTATTGTAACTGCTGTCTGCACTGCTGGTAGGGGACCAGCCCCTGGACACACTCCTGCCTTCCTCACTCTTGCATGTGCTAAGTGAAAGGCTTGGGCAAAACAGGTGACACGACTGCCTAAATCATATGCAGACATTATCAACTTACTTTCTGGGACTTCTTGCTGGATCAAGTAGTACTGAGCAGAGAAACCATCTTTAGCCACTGCCAGGTCTGTGTGGAAGGTGAGTGAGAGGACACCGGTGGTTGAGCGGATGTCTGACGGCATCTTAGTGCCACAGTACCTGCCTATCAAGGGGCCAACTGCAAAAGAAAGAGCAGCAAAGGTAATGCTTGGTTTTCCACTGGCTTTCTGGTTACCAACAGATTGGCATCACTCAACAGGGAGAGCAAGACTGGCATAAAAGAAAGGCTTTGGAGATGGGCTATTTTTTTTACATCCGCCAGCCTGGTGCCATGCAGTACGCCATGCAGAATTATCCACTGCAGTAGGCATTGCTCTGCAATTGCCAGGAAATGCTCCAAACTGCTCTGTTTCTCAGTGTTGGTATAGGGTAGGGAGGTCCTCCCAGCACTGCATGAAGCCACTGCTCTTCCCTTAGGGAGGACTGGTGGTATCTTGAAGTGTCCCATGGGGCTTTTCAGATCAGTGGCTACAACAGAGCAGTAGTTTGGGGCTTAATGCATGCAGCCTTCTACAAGCACACTGTCCCCACAGCTGGCCACCGAGCACCCCGATGACAGGGTGGATGCTGCAGCCATGTCTGAAGTTAGACATCTTTGGCATTCAGACACAGACTGCACAGCTTTGGAGCTTTGTGAGACACTAAGAGAGACTGAGGACAGCAGCACAGCACCCCATGGCTTACCCTGAGGGATGCCATCCCAGATATCCAGCCAGTCGTACTTGCAGTCTCCTTCCCCTGCCTGCAGCGGGTCGTGCTCGAGATCAAAGAGCAGAAAGTGAAGGAGGATTTCTGTCTTTGGCTTGGCTATGATGGTGAAGACACAGTCCAGATTGTGTGGATACTTGTCAGGGAAACCTGGAGACTCAATAGTGCCGTTGGAGGCAGTGAAGTTTCTGGAGCAGTCCTCAGAGCCTGTAGTGGCAGGAAAAAACCCACAGCCTTAGCAACAGTGCAGCTTAATGCCAACATCTTGACACTGCGGAACCCCCATTTTGAGCTTAGAGTGGTTGTGCAAGCACTTCCAGTAGCCCAAGAGCTCTGTGAATTCCTGCAAGGACCCACAGGGTGATTTTTCACAGCTTTCCACAGGTGGCAAAACAAGATCTATGCCTTCACTGGAGCAGACAGCATGGTTCTAAATCTCTCAGACAGCTCTGCAAATGTAACCTGTACACCACTGATGATGCTCCTGCCAACTACTCCAAAAACAGGACTAGGAGAGTTATCTACCCAAAGGCATCCAAAGCCACAGCTGTGATTTGGCAGGCCAGCACCCTGCCACGTCCCCTACACTGGTGGTGGTAGCCCAGGTGGGGAAGGGAAGCCATACTGAGCTGGGCTGGGCTTCAGCCCTATCCACTAAGATGGCACCCAAACAACAACTTGACAGGAGGCCCATGTCCGTTGCCCCAAAGCCTGCAGAGGGGTCAGCCAGCATGCAGGGGGCTGCCGTAAGCAGTCCTCACTGCCACAGCTGCCACATGTCACATCAGCTCCAGGTCTGATGGAGAAGCCCCTGTTTGGGGAGGGGGCTGCCTGGGAAAGGGCAGAGAGGAGTAATAGGGATGTCATCTCTGGAAAAGCTGTCCCCAGGGGCTGGTCTCCTGCAACCTTCACCCCTCCAACACAGACATCTGTGCCTCAGTTTCCTCTCAAGAAAACCAGGAAGCACAAATATTTACACAGTGAAAGGGCCCCGGGGAGGGTGCCAATGTCTCCTCTGTTAGTTGGAAACCCTTGGGAAGTGCGCAGTTAGCCTGTGGCCTCCTGAGACCCATGCAAGGGCCAGCTCCAGCATATGTCCCCACAAAATGGCTACAGCAAGAGCCGGGGTAACAGGGGCCAGGGCAGAGGGATCTCTGCTGAGAGGAGGAACAGAGGCCTCTTTCTCACAGACTGAACCATCCGCACCAGAAATGCAAGTTATTTCTATGCTTAAGGAAGACCTTTGCGTGGTGAGGAGGGCAGACAATGTTGCCTCTTATTTACTGCTGACCTCAGCACTGGCCTCGGTTGCAGTCAGGCCAGCTCCGTGCCCCCTCTCATACAGACAAGGTGCCTCGGGGTGGCTGGGGAAAGGGGAATTCATACCACGGTGACTTTGAAACTGCTGCACTGTGGAGGCAGGACAATAGGCAACAGAAATCTGCAGCCTGGAGCTATCAGAGGCAAAAGGGGATGTTGGAGAGGCTGCCACCGCTGCAACCCGGCATTAGCATTTGCAAAGGTTTCTGCTTCAGTTTTACTGGGACACCCTCCTCCGCTACAAATCCTTCTGCTCCGGTTCTTCCAGGCAGCACACGAGCCTTCCTGGGACTAATAGGAGACTTGTTATTCAATTCAGCATTAACCTACAGGAGTCAGGCCAGCAGCCCGCAGTAATAGCAGGATCCCGCACTGCATTATGCAGTGCCTAGCTGGAGAGCTACTCAGGAGAGGCTCTTAATTGACTACCTAATGAAGCAGCCAGCTTTTCTGGTGTGAACCTGTGGGGTAAAACACAGAGGCAAAAAATAAGACCAAACACAAATCACAGCATAATGCCATGAACAGGGATAAGGGTGTACTTCATTCCAAACATCCTGAAATAGATAAACAGGGAAAATAACATACGCTCCAAGCTAGGGATAAAAATCAAAGACTAAACCCAGAGTCAGGGACTGTCCTCTAGAGACAGGAGAGACATAACTATGTCACCACATTAGACAGCAAGTTTCCTCATGTGAGGCTCTTATTGCATTTGGCATCTTTGTCTACAGTTTGGCTGATAGCAGCAAACACAATGATCAGCTTTTTATAAGGAAGCTGCAGATAATCAACCGGAGTCATGCTGGCTTCGGCAGCATGGACCAGCCCGAGAGGAGACTTTGATGTCCAGTAATGGAGAGCTCAGGCCAGCGCTGCCAAACTGACTCACAAAGTGAGCAGCAGGGTGGCTGGACCAGCTAGGGCAGGTGGCTCTTTTGTCAGCCCACAGACCGCTGACTGATACCCATCAGGGGATTCAAAGACTGGTATGCAGTTGTTTGTATGCATATTGCTCCTCTCCCACAATGTGATAAGGAAAATTTAGCACAAGGTGTGGAAATAAATGCTCAGTTTAAAAGAGTTGGGTTTTTTAGGTCATCTTTAAAAAAGAAAAAAGCTGTAGCCACGTTGCCTTTACTGATGTGGACAATTGCAATCCAATGACCTTTAAAGCTGGTGACACCCTTGCTGGCTACTCTGACAGCTTAGACAGAAACCCGGCACTGCCCACTGCTCTCCCTGGGAACCCTGGAGTGGGGACAGGGGACGGGCAGACGAGGTGGGCTGGCAGTGCTCCTGGATCACAGGCTCATCCCTGCTCCTGTGCCAAAACCTGCCCTGCCAGGCTGGATTTTGTGGGCTGTGGCTGGAAGAAAGCTATTATGTCTATTTCTGGAGAGGGGATCTCTCTGCAGGGAATGGTGGTGGTGAAAGAAGCTCCAACACTTCAGACCTGAGGGCAGCTCTGTAGGGACCTACATCAAGAGAGACACAAACTCAGCTCCAGCCTCAACATCCACTCTCTCCCAGAGCAGCCCTTGCTTCCTCTCCCTCTCTACCAGCAGTAACAAAAATCTCCTTTTCCCATTGAATTTGGCACCTTGCTGGCTCCCACCCAGGCAGAGAGGGTTCTGGCCTGCCATTCCTTCCCACAGCCACACTAAGCCTGGCCTGATCACCTCAGCCAGCTGGACCACCCCACACTGCCCCATGCCCCGACTCACGGCATGGACCCCATGTGAGGACAGGCACAACCCAGCACAGTCTGCTGGGCTCAGTGTACAGGGAGTGAAAGGCAAGGGAGGCTGAGGTAGGTCGGCAGTCTTCTCACCTGAACAGTTATTCTTTGCCATTCTCCACGCTGGCAACTGGCCTCAGCAAACCCCAACAGCGAGATGAACCACTAAACTCTTTCAGAACTAATATGCATCCTAACCATTAAGAAACAGCAGTGGTGAGCTGGATGCACCACAACAGATCAATGACCAGTTATATAGCCCAGGCAACCACAAGCAACAGCACTTTCCTCATCTACCTGAATGTCCAGATACCTCCCGCCTTCACCATTTCACAGTGAATTTAGGGAGTCTCATTCCTATCTTCTTGCAGCAGAGTCTCCGCATTCACATCTACCTGTGACTGGGTTGCAGACTGCCTGCACACCTCCGCCTGCTGCACAGCTGGGCCAGGGCCCCCAGCACTGGTGCCTGTGCTCCCTGCTTTTCCCTTTGAAGAGGCGGGGTAAGCGACACTGTTGTGCTCCTTTCTGGTTCTTCACCAGGCGTGGGTAATTTTTTCATGCTGGATGCAATGACGTGAAAGCCGCATGTGTGTTTTCTTCCAACGCACCACCAAAGGAAAGTGGGCACAGGGCAGGCGCCCACGTTCCCATGCAAAACACACTCTTGTTCCCTCGGCATGCAGGCACACCTCTCACCCGCACACACTGAGCGGGTTTTATTTTCTCAATCCTCCTTCTTCCCAGACACACAATTCTGGCAAATATTTAGACAGATACACTATTAAAATGCCTTTGAGCAGCTTCTCCTTTCCTCAACAATAGTTCGGTATTAAACAGAATTATGAACAGTTCCTCTTACCCCTCCCTGGAAAGGTGTTGCCTCAACCCTTGACAGCACTGCTGACAGCAGTCCCTTGAAAACCAGAGCTCCCCAGTTACAAAACCTGGCTTCCAGGGAGAGAAAACACAGTGCCATTGATCAGCCCTGAATCGAAACTCCACAGGAGGGGGAGCTCCATGCGCTCCTAACAGAGGGACAAGCCCCTCTTAGCCCTAACAAGCTTCACACATGCAAGAGAGAAGAGATACATGTTTCCAGTCCTCAAATACAAGAGCACATTTACAGAGGAATCCTGCTTTTGACGCCACAGTGTGATCCAAAAATGCACTATCATGTGCCACTAACATCTTCTTGGAAATGCGATGAAACAGACTCACTTAAATTAAAAAAGAACAAAACCAAAGGAACCCTTTATCTCTGGAGAACATGCTAAAAATCATATTGAAAAGGTGGCCAAAGACATCTCCTTGTGAAGATTATTATGGCAAACAGCCTGGGAGATAGGCATTGACTCAGACACTCACCTGTCTTGTAGATCTCATAGCGCAGGGAGAAGCCGGCACCTTGCCGTGCATAGTCCGAGGTGAACTTGATATAGAGAGAGGGGCCAGAAGAGATGATGGTAGGAGGTGCTATGTTCCCACAGTGCTTGCCCAGCAGGTCTGCCACTTCACTGTCCCCATCTCGGATCTCGATGTAGTCATACCTGTGGAGGCAGGTGAAATGGCAGTAAAACCATCTGTCAGGGAGACGCTTCAGGATACCAGGAATAAATATTAAACTTCTTTATATCTGTATATTTCACAGCACATCCAGCCAGGTACCTGGGACACTATCACTCACACCACACCACAACACACATCCCCCAGTACATTTTTTCCCTTTTGTCTGTCTGGCTACATTTAAGTCTTCCCCTCTGTTGCTCCTCACATCATTAATTTATTGCAACCACATCCACTTCAACTTCACAGCCAACATGCAATATTTAGGACACAATTTTCCCCCGTTTCCACGAGACTCCTTTGGCACGGGAGAAGCTCAGATACAACTCTTCTGAGGCAGCTCTCCTTCCCTTACGTCTCTCTTTAAGTGCCACTGTGCTACTTAGCACAGCTCAGTTTATTCCACTATTCAGGAGAGATTTGGCCAAGCACACACCGAGCATGAAACAATAGTGTTCAATCCATGTGAGCAGGTAGCTATTTTGTACGTTGTCTGACACCACATTGGTTCTCTAACAAGCACAGCTGTACACTTACTTAGCACTTGGCCAATAATGCTGATCTATTAAGTGCTAACAAAGATTTCCTGTGGATGAGAAGTGCTGCGTAAGAGCTAGGTAGCCACATTCACTATTGCCTGATCCTTGTACACTTAGTAACCCCAACCTGCCTTTGCTAAGCCCTACCTGGAGATGTCCCACCTGTCTACCGGCACAGCGGCAGGGCATCTGAATGGTCTGAGGGGAGCATGTGTAGAGTTAGAGGGATTGCCTCCTGGTACAGAGACAAAAGCTTGTTGCAAAGTCTGGCTGGAAGGGGAAACTCCCACAGATTCCTTAGTATTTTCTAGGCCATGACTAATGGCAAGGTAGTTATCAGGCTCTGTCTGCTGTGAAGAAACAAACAGCTTTTACGTGAACATCTTGTTCTTCGGATGCTTTCTAACACCCACGCTCTCCCCGCCCTTCTTCTCCTCCTCTCTGGCCGACTCGCTATTTACAGAAACTGCCCATCTCTCTTTGACTGTTTATTCACTTTGTATCAACCTGTTTGAACAACATGCTGCAGCTCTTCTCACGGGGCCAGGGAGGGAAAAAGCACTTCCAGGCTGCCAGGAATCTGCCTTTCTTCTTTGTCACAAGATCTCCTGTTTGGGAATGGAGAGTTGAAAGGAGAAGTAGCTTGCTGGACGCAGAATGATCCTCATGTGACTCATTCCTGTTCCGCAAAGCACACATCGGCAGGCAACAATCTCAAAACAAACTTAAAGGGACTCCATGTGCTCCTCCACAAAGAAAAATGGCCCGGATGGCTTTGGTTTCACTCCTTTCTGGGACTAAATCAGGCTGAGAGCCAGAGGCAAAATGCCTGCAGATGAAACCCCAGTCTACGCCAGACCAAGCACTCGGCTCGCTGCAATCACCCAGTCTTTAACTTCATTACAGACGCAACTGGCTTGGCCAAGGTGAAATCCAAGCGGTCTTGAGAAGAGGCACTCACAGAGGAACAACATTTGGCTTAGCTGGTGGGTGGACTGAGCAATGTAAATGAAGATCTGTTTCCTCTGCTCTCTCTTCAGCTCTGCGTAGCTTCCTATCACCTCGTGACCCCTTATTACCCTGACACTGTCCAGCAGCACCCTGTATGACCCTACTAATGTCCATCATGTGTGGCTTGATCCCCTTGTCTCCCCTGGGAGGAGGAACATAGAGCACAGTGTTAGTGCTTCTTTTAAGTAGATTTTTTTCCTCCTTGTTTGTCTATTTGTTTAAAGTAGTGCTGAGCAAACAGCAAGGACATTTTGTTCTCTAAATAACTACTTGCTTTCAGTGTCCTTGCAGCCCTTCCACACCAGAAGTACACATCTGTGCCGCAGGACTACTGGCTACTAGTGAAATTGTGAATATGTGACAAAAAAATAATGTGGCAAAAACGTGAATGTTGGCAAAACACAGCTAACTGAGCGGACTGTAAAAGCTACCCTTTGCATGGCACAGGCAGAGGTTAGCCACATCCCAGGGAATCACATCTGTTTGTATACTCATGGGGTTCTAACTTGCCAACACAGTACATGACTTCGACAACTTGACTGTAATGATCACAGGTTCTGCTGTAGCCAACACACCAAACATCCTAGTGCTGTCCACATTGTGCCTCAAACCACTCTGCCCTAGGAGTCCTGGCAATTTCAGAAGCAATTTCTGGACCAAGAAATATTTGCTTATTGAATGGGTGAATAACTTCCAATAATACATACAATTTGGGAATATTGCAATCTGCTCATGGGCAATCTGCAAATGGAAAATTAAAAGAATGAATCTAGTAAGTAAATCATCAGGAAATATTTGCCTCTCTGAATTAAACCCTGTTTGGCTTCATCCAAGCATCTAACTGAGCTTTCTCCTACTGGAGCTAATCCTTAATAAATCAAATGTTACAAACAACTAAAAAAAGCCCCTAGGAGAAGGTCAGGGAATCATTTTTGCCAAATGTAAAAATGAATATAAATGCACAAGAGTTTTCTTCCCTAGTTAAAAAAACATTGGCCCAAACCCTCTGCTCCTCATGAGGCAAAACTCTTTCTTCAGGTCATATAAACAGAGTATTACACTCAGGAGGTAACCGCTGCCCAGATGAGCAGGAGCACCTACTTGCTCTCCAACATAGCAATTAAGCTTTAGGCTTTCAAAACGAAACAGCAAAGACATCTGGTCCAAACCATGAAACTTTCAAACTTCAGCAAGAACACTGACTAATCCCCACCACAGACTCTTTTGGCATCATGTGCTTCAGTCATGTCCACGCCTTGGCCCACAATTAAACAAGCTGATAAACCCCATTCTCCTCACATTGGGTCACTGGCCATGTTAAAATCTAGTCTGGCCAGATCTTTGCTTCTGTTAAGCTTAAGCATGGTTTCCAGACTTTTTTTCTTCCCGTGTGAAAAACAAGAAGAAAAATTGGAAGGAAGAAACCCCAACCCTGGGGATGCTTTCTACTCTAACCATTTAATTTCCAGATAATTACAGGCTAGGGCACAGCTGGGTGGGACACATTTATGCAGTGATGGTATCCAGACTGTCTTGACAAGCACCCAGCAATTTGCATTTCACTCACATAACCAAATCCATTGTTTCAGTCAATGTGCACCAACATCCTTGTGGGCTGACCACTCCAGCTTTACCTCCAATGGACAAGCTGACATCTCCAAGCACATTTCATGGCCACTTCTCCACATCTAGACATTGCTCCAATGAACCAGCCATAAGCATGTGAGGGCAGGGTGAAGCATTTGTAACCCACAAGTATAGTCAATGGATTAACCAACTCTTCTTGCAGGGAAGGTGACCGCAGTTGGCTGCTGCTCCACCAGCAGGATATTTTCAGCTGCTGCTTGAGTGGTAATGCCAGCCAGCTGGTTTGAAAACCGCCTCAGAGGTTTCCACCAGGGAGTTTTAAGGCAGAGAGGCAAAGCTGAAGTGCTGTTAACTGCCCAGACAATGGGCGGGTTGAGAAAGGAGGGAAATGCATTGCTTAGACACTCTTCTTGGAGCTGTTTAACAGAAAATGTACAATGCTTACAAATATTGCTGCATTTTTATTAAAGATTTTTAATAGAAAGTGCTTTGCTGATGTTAAGAGAGATTTTATAAACTGATTATAAAGCACTTCTAATGCCTGGATTACTCATGCTTGCTTGCTTGCTTTTTCCTCCAGTCAACCCTCTCTGCTTCCCAGTCTTTCCTTTCTCTCTAGTTTCCCTAAATGACTTTGCTGATGGCTTTCCAAACAAGCCTACAAGGCATAATAAAGGCAAACAAGCCCCAGTTGCAGTGATTAGGAGAAGACCTCCACCTTTTCAGTCCTTTTCTGTTGTGAAACAGCTAATCTGGTCCTTAGCCATTTGAGATGTGCTCCACCATCCCCGAGGCCGGCCCAGACCTCCCAGGTGCCCACCCAGGCACTGGTGAGCTCCAGAAAACCTATGGCCCACTTGAGGAGCAGCACCAGAAAGCCTGCACCATTCCTCTGGATGCTCCTCTCCTGAGGTACACAGATTGGCACAAAGCACAGTTTTGGGACTCCACACATAATCAACATGCCTATTGCCCCTCAGCCCCAGGTCCTAAGAGATGTTGAGTCCTTCCCCACTGAGTCATGATTCAAGGACATTACAGGGGCATTAACTTAGGATGGAGAGAAACACAAAAAATAAATCATTTGTATGTTCACAGCCATAATGTGAGTCCTCCCAATACATAAACTTGTTCAAGCCTTGCTTCAAAGCCTGAGGAGGGCTGGCTCCCCAGACCAAGCTCTGACCTAGCTGTCAGCTTTCTCAGTCTCTTCCTGGAGCTATGATGTGAAGTAGGTGAGGGCTCGCACACAGCTAAGCCCAGTTTCCATTGCTTGCCAGGGCCTGAGAGAGTCACAAGGCTCTAACCTGAAGTTCCCCAATGTTTAATTTGGAGCTGTTATTTATAGGCATTTCCACGGGGCTCATGACTGCACCTGGCAAACAGTAATGACGGGATCCTCAGAGACCCTGGGAGGTAGGAAGGCAGTGAGGAGCAGTGGCTGGCCCAAAGTCACACAGGAAGTTTGCAGCACAGCCAAGAATAGAAGCCAGCCTTGATTAGATAGATTATATTGTATTGGAGGAGTCTGGCCTAGATAGACAAACAGGTACTGACTGTGTGCCAACAGCCCCAAATTTGGGAGTGCCCAGTGTAGACTTGAGCCTTCAAGACCCCTGATCTGCTTGAATCATATGTCACAGTGTCTTGAATGCATCTACTGAGAATAGGAAGAGAAACTACAATGCTCGTGAAATTCAGTAGGCATTAATACTCTCTGCAGGTAGCTGGGGGAAGGCGTAGGGAACCTGCTTAGCCGCAGCAGCTAGTAAATTCAATTGTTCCCTCTGAAAAGGTGGCAGGTGGTTTGTTTCTCAGAAACTGTCATAAAAAGCCTAAGGTTTTAT